TACGAGTAATACTATGGTCAATGCAATTTCTGGTGATTATATTAAATTTAAAATGTATTAACGTATACTTTGCAAATCTTGCCATTTTAACAAAAATTTCCTTTATTTCCTCAATTTCCTCATATCTTATTAATATACTAATTTGGTTCTTGTAAAACAACCCATTAACAAATCAAAACGATCTTTCTTATTTGGAGAACACAAGCAGTTAACTTTTAATTGAACACTCGGCAGCCCTATCTGGACGCGGCTGGGTAATCGGCGAGAGGAAAAAGCCGAGCGCTGTTTTCCACTTTTATTGGTCACTTAGCTCCATTCCACAATCTTGTAATGGCGCAATTCGAAATGATAAAGCCATGAAATTCCCAACACGCACGCTAGTTACGTCTTCTTTTCATTTATACTCATTTTGAAAAAAGAAAAGTCATCCCTTTGCATATATATAAAAAATGGCGAGCTCGTTCCTGCTTTTTAATTTAGATTTATTGTGTTTGCGGTGCTGCCGCCATGCCAATGAGCATCTCCAGACCACCCAATCGGCTGCATAGTTAGCATGAAAATAATAATAATTCTCTTTCTGCTGTGAAAAAGAACAGCGGCAAGTTAGAAACGCTTAAGTATTTTTCCTGTGCAGGCCGGGATGATTATTTTTTGCACCGCCTATACCTCTGCTCGTTATCAACTTGGGCAACACACAAAATAATATCGCGTGTTGTGTGTGCTTTTCTTACCTTTTTTGTGTGAGTTGCGAGTCGCCCCGAGGTACGCATCTCTCTCTCTTCTCTCCAGGCTGCTCGTTTGTTAATCTACGACTAATAAAATGCCCCGCGCGCGACTCCTTCTGATTCCGATGAAATTGTAAACGGCCTGTCAGACCGCGGAAAAAATGAAGTAGAGGAAACACGCGCTTTTTTGCCGTCAGGACCGAGATTTTGTTAAGGTTTTAATTTATAATAGCAACCCACCTCATCTCTTATTCTCACAGATATAATTAAATTAATTGTTATTAATTATTATATTGTAAAGAAAGTATAAAAATTGAAAAAAAAAATTTGATTTTAAAACCATAAAAAAATGAATCTTGTATATTTATGAAATGTAACGCCGAAAAATTTATCTAGCTTCAATCACAGTAAATTACTGCTTCAAAATTTAACTAATTGAATTGAATTAAATCAATATTTTCTGGAATAAATATTGATAAATATTAAATTCACTCCATTTCGGTTGCACAAAATAGTGTTTTCAGCAAAATATGTTCTGCCGCTGGTCTTGCAACTTAATTTTTTCTGCATAATGCAGAAAATCTTCTAGTTTTTGTTGCGACCAGTTTTACATCGATTTGATGTAGACCTATATTTTAGAAAATTTATAGCTGATGTAGAAATATATTTCTACATTGAGTTGATGTAGAGTTATAGTTTTGAATTTTTTTTAAAACTTGTCCTGAAACTCGACCACGACGTCCGATTTTCTGCAGGGCAGAGACCATAACGAAGCGGCTGAGCCCACGGTAGATCTAATTGCCCCACATTGCCCATTAGGCAAAATGCGGCAGTTAAACCCAGATCGGCTGGGTCTGGGTCTAATAGGCACTGAGTTTTGGTGGAAAAAAATCAATTTAAAAATAAAACTTTGCACTTATCCTTTCATGTTTTAATTTCATCAATTTTAACTCGGTGGTCATTCTTAAGTTTGGTTTATAAACTTATAACAGTTAATATCGTAGACAAGTAATTTAACAACTTTCTATATATTGGAAATGTAACTTAGAATTTATTTAAAAAAAAGGGCATTTAACTCTCAAATTGACTTGAAATTTAACGCGATCCATTCTATCTGTTAGAAATCGGAATCATTTTCCTGTAAAATAACTGAGCCCGCATGTCTCCTTGAAGTGTGAGAGTTAAGCGGAACAAATAGCCATGCAAATATTATTCTCCTGCAGTAAAATAGCCGCTTTTACACCCCATTCTGAATGGAACCTGAGCGAGCGAAGCTGACAACAAAAACCCTAGTTTTCTTCCTCCTGTGTTCCTCTGCGCTGCGCCATGGCTACCTTTTTGTTGGAAAATAAAGCATCCGTGCGAGACCTTGAGATCCGACCAACAAGGTGTATAGACTGTAGTAGCTTCTCTCACATTTTTTTTATGTGCCGGGCACTATTTTTTCTCTCTCTCCTTTGCTTCGAGATTGCTGCTTTGAGCCATCCTTCGTGGATGCCCCACAGCGAGGACCACTGCTAAAAAATAATGCATCATTTCATACTGTCTTTTCCAGCAGCTCTCTCTGATTTATATGTGCGGACGGCACTGGCGCAGTGGGAGGAACGGAAAAAGAGACGTGCTCTTTTCTTTTCCTTTGACAGAGAAAATTTGATGCTAGAAAAGGCAGTCCCATTTGAGACGCTTTTGATTTTTTTTTCAAATTTTCATATAAAGAAAAATTTGACCCACGTCTATTTTATCCCTGCAAAATTGTGGCGTTTTTTAAATGTAATTTTAGATTTAATTATTACGGAATTTAAATGAATTTAATTCAACTAAAATTCTGATGCTGAAAGCAAAAGATTATTTCATTTTCTATTGGAAGAAGATTCAAAATTTATTTCTCCAAACCTTTGAAATTTTTTTTTCTTGCAAAAACCGTCGGACGTTGGAATGCCTTCCAATAAATTAAAAAACTATCAAAATTTAACTTAAAGTAAAGTAATTAAATTATTTTCAAGGGATTCTTAAAAAGCTAAAAGCATCTCTTCTGTCTAACTCTCCCTGTGTCTTTTGCTTCCTTTGGTTGACACCAAGAAGTTCTTGGTTGACACAAAACCAACCCCAAATTATTCCCATCTAGAAAAACAGGCGTTCTTCTACCGCGCTCCTCGTAATTGCCAAAATCGGATCATGTTTCTTTTCCTCCTGTAAACGGGGAGGCTGCTCGGGTCCATCATATACCCTGCTGTGCGTTGTAGCACATGATCCTGAAGTGCCCACTCGAGGGGGTGGTTTTTTTTTATACCCTCTTGCAACAGCTGCCAACTGCAGTGTACAGAGTGGGAAAAATGTCCAGGCAAGTGGAAGTGAAGGAAAAATGATAATAAAGAAGGAAAGAAACAAACAAACAAAAAGAGACACTGGTGAGATGAGTATGTTTGCTTTGCGAAATTGCTGCGACATTGTTTAGCAGAGAGGGACGTCTTCATAAAATAGTAATCATAGTTAATGACCATCGCCCGGAACACTAACATAAATTATTTTTCGTTTAATTTATTTTATGTCAAATTTTCTCTAAATTTTGCATAAAAATATTTGAATTACGGGAAAAACTATTTAGTGTAAAGAAATGTTTTCCATCTTCATAATTTCAATTAAATTTTAACAAAAAATATTCTTTTTTAATAAAATATTGTTTTGAAAATAAAACATTCATCTGGTGAAAATTGGATATTTAATTAATCTAAATTAATCATCGTCAAAAATTCGTGCAAGGTAATTTCCATTGAAAGAAGTTGAATGAATTTTCGTCATAATTAATTGCACGGATTGAATTTGGCAGCACGAAATCTCTTCGACTCGACGAGGGCACATGGATGTAATTGAAAAGGGCTCAGGTCTCTCCTTTGCATGCGTCCTCCACTCTCGGAGTTTCGTTCGCACCACTCGAGGGCGTCGCACAATATAATGAGCCCAGCAGCACATTTTTATTACACGTACTTATCCCCGACGACGACGACGAACTCGGTTCATCACGTGTGCTCTTGAGCGCCGAGCATAAATCAATGCCTCTCTTCGCGGCTGCATGTTCGCACACCGCGCCAATTTCTCTTCTCTGTAATTGGCAAACTCGACCGGCCAAAAGTGAGTCCATGCATAATGCATGACGGCCGACTGCATAATTCATAAAGATCGGATATGCCATCTCATGATTTATGGCTCTTGACGTCAAACTGCAAATATAAACTCCCAATTTTAATTCATAAATATTCATTTCAAATAGATGTTCTCTTCTTTATTTTGAAACGTTCCAAATTACTAGATTGGGAGCAGTTTTAATGTTAATTACAATTATAAATTGTAAAGTAATTAAAAATTTATTGCTAATTTAACTAAACATGCTGAAATTAACTAGTTTCAGACTTTTTAGTTACCTATAAAAAAATCAGCGGAAAATCTGACTAGCAGATGAATTTTTTTCTCAAACAAAATTAAATTTTTACCCTACTTGTGGTGTTGACAAATTCAATTCGCTCTCCGCTTTTTTTCCCTCAAATAAGAATCTCCGCGGCCAAATTCGGCGCAGACGGATTTCTTTGTGAAGAAAGGCAGCAGTTGGCAGCCGCAGATTTATTATTTTCTCGGTTTGTGCGAAGTGAAGTGCTCGGAGCTTTTCTCCGCTGCCAGCGACTGAGAGACTCTTTGCTGCACATTCGAATGTGTGTGTTCGCAAAAGAGCGAGAGAGCGAGCAGTGGTGTGTTTTTCACACCCTCGGCCAACTGCTGCTGCTGCTGCATAATAAATAATGCTGGCGAGATTTGCGTACACGGTGTATGTACATATGACGTGTCTGAATTGCCGGGCCCCACCGCTGTGCCAATTTCGTTCTCGCCAGCTCGCACACGTGAACATAATGGGCCCTTGAAAAAAATCCGCCTGCACGCAGCGTCTCTCGCCCAGTGAGAGTGAAATAAAAAGATCTCGTCTGCGAATCTCTCGCCCGCTTTTCGCGCAATGATGAGGATTTAAAAATTGTATGCTTGGGTTTTCTCGCTCTCACTGAAAGCCTGAAAAGAGTCCCCATCCCGCATCTCCTGAGTCGAAATAAAAATAAATTATAAATGATGAAATTTTTTTCCTAAATCCAATTAGTTTTGCCAAGCATTCAGTTGAATTTAAACTTTTAAACTAAGTCTTTAAAAAGATCTCTTAATGTTACATAAATGTTTATTTTTTATTTGCAAGATATTTTTTTACTCTTTTTTACATGGTTTGATGTTTTGTTTCAGCACACACTTCTCTGCTATTCTCTACCACCAAGGATATCAGGCTTCTAAATGTCACAAACAAATCGCACAAAATCAGCATTATCATTAAGGTAAGTGGATTTCTTTTTGTAAAATCTGAATTTTTAAAACTGCTATTAAAAAATAAATAATACTAGATTATAAATGCCCATTATTTGGCTCTATTTTAAAGATTTCTTTTGATTTTTCATACTTTTCTCTGCTTTTAACTTTGCATTACATGTGAATTTCCAAATAACCTGTTTTTTACCTTTTGTGAAAGAATAAACAAATTGAATTGAATGGAAAACAGCGAAATTTTGATTTTTTTTTCTTAAATAAATTGTATATCGCTTTGACTAACTTTAAAAATTAAATGTGTATAAGGACTTGGAAGATGGCGGCGCGGTGGACTTTTACCACGCCGGCGGCCTGGTGTGCTGGACAGACCACGGCAAAGAGATGATCGCCTGCCAATCCACCAACCGCACCGACGGCTCTCATGCCAAGGTAAGCGCCCCTTTGACCACACTCGCTCGTTTCCTAACTTGCTTGGTTTCAGGTTGCGGTGGTGACCTCAGGGTTGAACTCCCCGGACGGTCTGGCGTGTGACTGGATCACAGAAAAGCTGTACTGGACCGACGGGGAGACCAACCGCATCGAAGTCGTCTCGCTCAACGGACTCAACCGAAAAGTGCTTTTCTGGGAAGACATCGACCAGCCGAGAGCCATCGCACTAGTTCCAATGAAAGGGTAACAAGTCTGGAGTATTCATTTTCTTTTATTTACTCACTTGAATTGAATGGCAGGTTGATGTTTTGGACTGACTGGGGAGAAGTGCCTAAAATCGAGCGTGCTGGAATGAATGGAGATCCGTCGACAAGGACTATTATTGTGAGCGAAGACATTTTCTGGCCCAACGGACTGACTATTGATTACGACTCTGAAACAATTTACTGGGCCGATGGCAAGCTCAATTTCGTTGCAGCTATGGACTATGAAGGAAAGAATAGACGCATCATTATCAACAGGTTTGCCCTTTGATTAATAATTTTAATTCTGTTTTTAATTAAAATGTTTATTTGTTCCTCAGAGGAATCAGCTACCTCTATTCGATCACGTATTTTGACAGCAAAATGTACTGGATTGAGTGGGACCAGCGCTCCATCCAAATGTATGACATGACCATTGACAAAGATCCAAAGACACTGGTCAAGGGTACGCCAAGCACCTTTGCTCCCATGGGTGTACTCATAATGGACGCCAAAAGACAACCTGTTGGTAAAAGTCCGTGCGAAGTCAACAACGGAGGGTGTTCCCATTTGTGTCTCTTGTCACCAAATCCTCCTGGCTTCTCCTGCGCCTGTCCAACTGGAGTGAAACAAACCACAAAATTCACTTGCGCAAACGGTAAATTATATCAAATTTAGAAAATCAAAAAATATAATATTTTTTTTAGGAGCGCAAGAGCTTTTGCTGTTAGTACAGAAGACTGAAATTTCCAACATTTCTCTGGACACTCCAGACTACAGCCAGTTCGTTCTTCCTCTTATGGGAATCAAGCACGCAATCGCCATTGATTTTGATCCAGTGGACCAACAGCTTTACTGGACTGATGATGAGGTTATTTGTCCTTTTATATAAATAATTTCCACTTATTAAATTTCTTTCTCTAGGCTCGTACAATATCTAGGGTAAATCTTGATGGTTCAAACCAGCAAGAGCTCGTCGGTACAGAAGTTGAGCACCCAGATGGGATTGCAGTAGACTGGATCGCAAGAAATTTGTACTGGACTGACACAGGAACAGACAGGATTGAAGTTTCAAGATTGAGTGGCGCCTACAGAAAGGTATGCAGAGGATGTAATATTTATTTTTGATATTCAATTTTTTATTTAATTTAGGTGCTGATAAATGAAAACTTGGTTGAGCCGCGTGCTATTGCCTTAGCTCCAGAACATGGACTCATGTTTTGGTCAGACTGGAATGAAAAGCACCCAAAAATTGAGCGTGCCGCGTTGGACGGTACACAAAGGTCCGTTTTGATAGATGACGAATTGGGTTGGCCAAACGGTCTCGCTCTTGACTTGGATTCGGCCAAGGTGTACTGGTGTGACGCTAAAACTGACAGAATCGAGGTAAATTTTTTAGTATAATTGTGATTTGTTCTTCATATTTTAATTGCAGATGGCCAACTTTGATGGAACTGATAGACGTGCACTTATCACAGACCATCTTCCACACGTTTTTGGTCTCACTTTGTCTGGCGAATATCTCTACTGGACTGACTGGCAAAGAAGAGCTATTGATAAGGCTCACAAGGTAAAAAGATAATCTTGATTTAGTGCCATTTATCTATTTTGATTTTTCAATTAAAGGTTACTGGCAACGAAAGAACAGTAATTGTTGATCACTTGCCAAACTTGATGGGCTTGAAAGCTGTCAAGTTAGATAGTAAAAGGGCCGGCACAAACCCTTGTGCCAAGTCAAATGGGGGATGTTCACACTTGTGTTTGAACAGACCAAAAGACCATGTCTGCGCTTGTCCCTATAGCTACGAGTTGAGTACAGACACAAGGAATTGTGTTGTTCCGGAAGCGTTTCTTCTCTTGGCAAGGAAGGAGAATATTTTCCGAATCAGCATTGAACACTACAACAATGATGCTGTTATTCCAATCACTGGAATCAAAGATGCAAGGTAATATTGAAACTTACAAGAAATTTGAATTGTGTTAATAAAAAAATTATTTCTAGTGCTCTCGATTTTGACATAACTGACAATAGAATATACTGGACTGATGTTAAAGTTAAGGCTATTACTAGAGCATTTATGAATGGGTCCAAGGTTGAGAAAATTGTGGAATTTGGTCTGGATTCACCCGAAGGTACTTTGAAAATATTTTGTCACCACCCCTGAAATCAATTTCATATCTAAATAGGCATGGCAGTTGATTGGGTAGCTCATAACATTTACTGGGCTGACACTGGTAGCAAAAAAATTGAAGTTGGTCGACTTGATGGCTCGTCTCGAAAAGTTCTCTTCTGGGAGAAAGTCGAAGAGCCTAGAAGTCTGGCTCTTGATCCCAGAGAAGGGTGAGAATTGAAATCATCAATTTCAAATTTATCATTTTACTGAAAATTTTCTATAGTTTTATGTATTGGAGTGACTGGGGCAAAACTGGACGCATTGAAAGAGCTGCTATGGATGGAACAAGAAATGAAATTTTAATGGAGAAACTGGGCCGCGCCAATGGCCTCACAATCGACTTTGTTCAGAGTCGTCTCTTCTGGACGGCCCTGGATACGCCAGCTATAGAAAGTTCTGATCTCTCTGGCATGAACAGACGCACCATTGTTGCTTCTGACATCCAGAAGCCTTATGGACTGACTCAATACCAAGTAAATGATTCAATATCAAGTGAATGCTAATTTCTCAAGCTTTCATTTTCAGGATTACATTTATTGGACAGACTGGAGCACAGGAGACATAGTTAGAGCAAACAAGTCCAATGGACTCAACAGGACTAAAATCCACGAGCGCTTAGAATTTGTGACTGACATTTTGGTATTCCATGCATCTCGTCAGTCTGGTTGGAACCAGTGTGCTGTCAACAATGGAGGCTGCACCAACTTGTGCCTTGTGGTTCCGAGTCCAGGTGCAGCTCCTGGAAAACAAATAACTGCTCACAGGTGTGGATGCCCCACACACTACATTTTAGTGAACAACACCTGCCTTCGTAAGTCGCAAATATGCAAATGATTAAATAAAACATTGATGGAAATTTTGATTTACAGCTCCGCGCAACTTCCTTCTTTTTAGTCAGAGAAATGCCATTTCAAGACTTAGTCCTGATTCAAAGGACTACCCTCTGGTGCAGCTGCCAATTCCAACCCTGAGAAATGTTAGAGCTTTGGAGTTTGATCCCACCAGGCAGCTTGTGTACTGGGTGGACGGCAAAAGCCAGAGCATCCGCCAAGCCTCAAGCAATGGCACGACGGGAAGTGTTTTGGTGCCAGGGTCACCAGACGTCCACCCTTATGACCTGGCCATTGAGCCTTTCTCAGGCCTTTTGTTCTGGACATGTTCCCTTAATAACTCTATTAATGTAACAAGACTGAATGGCTCCTCTGTGGGCCCAGTTGTGAGGGTTGAAAACGAGAAACCCCGTCACATCGCCATCCACGCCAAAAGAGGGTAAATATTTTTTATAAATTAAATTTTGCAGTGCATAATTTTTAAATTACCCAGACTCCTGTTTTGGACTGATGTTGGCTCCACACCAAGGATCCTGAGGGCCAGACTGGACGGTCAGAAGCGCCTGATAGTGGCCTCGGGACTGGAAAAGCTGGCAGGCCTTGCCGTCGACTCTGAGGCTGATCTCATTTTCTGGGCCTACCAGCACCACATTGAATGTGCTGACCTTCAAGGTGACAAGCGAAGGACTGTGGTCACAGGGCTCCAGCAGCCAGCAGGTCTCTCTGTGCTCGGAAACTTTGTCTACTGGGTCGACTTGGACCAGCACCAAATTCGAAAGGTGCACAAGTTCCGAGGCGGGGAGCGAGAAACAATCAGTGCGCGAATAACGCAGCTTACAGACATCCTGGCAGTGCACGCCCCGTCCCCAGAGGTATGTAAAATTTTTCCTGAATCCTTAACATAAAATATTTTTATTAATTTCTTTTCCTTCAGGAGTTGAGCACCAACCCTTGCATCAATGGTGGTGGCTGCTCGCACATTTGCGTCCCTGGGGACAATGGAGGCCCCCAGTGCTTGTGTCCATCGGGACTGACCTTGCTAAACGACCGAAGAACTTGCGGTAACTCCCCTGCTTGCGAAGAGGAGAACTTTGCCTGTGAAACCGCCACCCACGACAAGGACTGCATTCCCAAGAACTGGGTTTGTGATGGCCAGGTGGATTGTGTTGACGGCAGTGATGAGCACGACTGTCCCGAGTGCAGACACGATCAGTTCCAGTGCAAGAATGGCCCTTGCATAGGTCAGTTTGAGATGATCTTTAGTTTTTAATGTATTTTAATGAATATTTTTAGATCTTTTGTGGAGGTGTGATGGAACGGCACACTGCCCAGACGGTCTGGACGAAGTGGACTGTTGTCCTAAAGGCCAGTTTCGTTGTGCTTCCTCTCCTACCTGCATTGCGGCGTCAATGGTGTGCGACGGGTGGAACAACTGTGGTGATGGCAGTGATGAGTCTCCAGTTAATTGTCAAAGACAAGAGGTAAATTTTACATCATAATAGAGAAATTTGATTTGGAATAAATTCAGCTTTTAGTTAAATTTTACTTAAAATCCAAATATAATACCAAATTTCTGTTCATGTAAGTCAAATACATAAGAATCAACACCAAGTTTGCAAATTTTGCGCGCGGTCAAATATTTTCCAAAACCCACCCCCTTGGGTCAAGGGTTGGTACCACACCCGACTGAATTCAACCTAAACCATTCAGTTTCATGTTTATTTGTGATTTAACTTAATATCAAACATTTCCTTTCTATTTAATTGAATAGGCGGCGTAAAAAAAGTTAAATGTAAAAAAACTAGCAAAATAAACACGCTCTTTTGCAATTTCTCCATGAAAATCTCAAAAACCAAAAATATACCCCTTACAAAAATCTCTCAAAAGCTTTGCTATAAAATTTACTTTGCTTTTAGTTAAGTTTTTCAACCCTTTTGCCAACTTTTTGTTTTTATTTTGGAACTCACCGACTTTTAACTCTTATTTTCAGGTGATGATGCCAGTTTCCCATGGAAAAACGTACTTGCTGGGCATCCTGGTTGGTGTTTTGGCCACATTGGCAGTGGCCGGCATCGTCTTCTACCTGCGTTACCGCGCCACGGCCAACAACAACGCGGCCGCCACTCGTCCTGGTGAGCTGGAGGCGGCCGACCCTCTGGCCCCTAAGCCCATCAGCGGCCAGAAACTGCCACCCCAACACAGCCTGGTGTCGAAATCAGGCCGAAAACCAACCGGTCTGCGGCCGGGCAGTGACACTGTTCGCATGTCTGCGCTCGGCTACGACCGCTCTCGGCTCACAGGGGCCTCAAGTTCGGGGTCAAGTTCAACACCCCCGGCCGCGGGGTATCCTCGGGAGACGCTGAATCCGCCCCCGAGCCCAGTCACCGACCCACGGTCGGCGTGCGCTGAGAGCCACTGCTGCTCGGCGTACTCGGGGACCAGCAGCCGGAGGCCTTACCGGCACTACCGCTCCATCAACAAGCCGCCCCCGCCGACGCCGTGCAGCACGGACGTGTGTGACGAGAGTGACTCGTACGCGTGCGGCGCGGCCTCAAGACTAGGCTCCGAGTACGACTCGGACCCTTTTCCGCCGCCGCCCACGCCGCGCTCGCAGTACCTCAGTGATGAAATGTCGTGTCCGCCGTCGCCGTGCACTGAACGCTCCTACTTCAACCCGTTGCCGCCACCACCCTCGCCAGACCACTCTCCAGACCACTCTCCCAGCTAGTGAAAAGTAAATATGTATCAACATATTATTTATTTCAAATCCAATCGATTCTTCCAATTTGACAATACCGTATTTATTTGAATTTACTCAGAAAAAAATACCTTGGAATTTTGAAAGCGGTCTTTAATTTTGTTTTAAAGGGCCTGTTACAAACAGGAATTACTCGTCTTTGACCATAGTAGTTTTTGTTTAAGTTTGGTTTAGCTAAAAACCAGCAAAGTTTTTTTTTTGTGGTGCATGCCAAGGCATTTTGCACAAATAATCTTAGTACTGATTGTGAGCTTTTGAAGGCGCAAATTGTTGAAAACAATGCCAAGGCATGACTGCACAGTCTTAATGAATCAACCAAGTGGCCGCAACGACTGAAGCAAATTTTTGTGCCATGGTCCCCTTGAAAGCCTCTCCTAATAATTTTAACGTTGGTCACAAATTTAAACACTTAATTATTTTATCATCTACCTCCTGACCCCTGTAACGAGTAAATGTATAAGTAAGTGTTGCATATAATATAATTAGCGTTATCACGGGAAACGAAAATGTGAATATAGTTATAAAAATATACAAAAAAAGCGTTAATGAAAAGCAGGAGAATGTGCCTTTCCCCTCTCTTGTGAAATCAATGAGGGTAAACATATCGCCATTACCTATTGTTGATGGAAACGATTTGCTGCAATTATTAAAATATACGAGCTTCAAGAAGTGATGTACATACTTTTAAGGGCCATTACTTGTAGATTTTATTCGTTGAACCTCAGGTACAATTCCTTGCAACTTGCTAATTTTATCGTAAATTATTTAAACAATTAACCATGCGCTGGAGAACAAATTTGATGAAGTTAAGATTTTGGACGAAATGTTTTATATATATTTGACTTGCTATTCAAAATTTTATTGAAACTTGTAAACTCTATAAGTTTTTATATATGCGCGATGTCGGATTATATTGTAAAATTCCACCAAAATTTATTGATGCGTATACGCACAGTATTTTTTTGTATCTAAATTATTTATAGTTAAATAAAAATTCACAGCTTATTATTATTTACAGTCTTTACTTTTATTCAAACACTTTCTTGGAACACCAAAGTTGCTACAACGTCGAACTGGATTTTACAAAATCTAAAGTGCTTCTAAAAATCGGTGGACTGCCCACGGGTGATTTTCTTCACCTTCCTCTTACTCGGAGAAGGCACTTTTTGGCTTGAACTAGGTTTCACCCCTTTGGCCTGTGGCTCGATTTTGACCACGGTTTCCGCAATTTGTTTGGTCCTCGTCACCGCCACCGAAACGATGCTCGTCTTCTTGAATTTCGCCCTCAACTTTGTGCTCCTCTTGGCCGATTTCGCCTCGGTCTCCTCCGGTTTTTGAGAGTCAAATCCTTCGTCCTTACTATTCTTCCTGATGGTTTTCTGCTTCTGCAGTTTCGGCTTCGGTCTCAGCAAATTTTGCGTTGGACTAGGTGGCGAAGTAAATTTTTCTTCCACAGCCTTCCTCTGTGCCAAGACCCTGTGCGATTCATAAAATGCTCTGTTGGAGGAATTTTTCTAGCCAATGAAGAACATTATTTGTGTAATTATTTTACCTGTAAGCAGGCATGGACTTCATTTGCTGGAAGGAACCAGACCGTTGTCGCTCGGACGAGGGCTGGAATTTGGTAATGCTTGGCAGGCTCACACTTTCAGAGACTGTGTCCTTTGCTGAGACGTGGACGTCGCCATAGTCAAAACTAGACTCGTAAACCTGTGAACATTTTCTTAAATGAAAGCAAAGATAATAAAATAATTTTTATACTTGTGCTTGGACGACAACTAGTTCTGGCGGCATCATTTTAGCCTTTGGGTCGATTCCCTGCAGCTGCTGAGTCACTTGACTGTTGGACCTTTTGATCCACTCTCGTCTCCTGTGTCTTCGGAAGGACGCGGTAAACGACGCCGGCGGATCTTCGATTGCCAAATGCGTGTCCGAATCTGCCAAGTCCAATGTGGCTCTCGGCATTCGAAGAGAGAGGCGTCGAGGAGTGAGAACTTTACCAGGTACAACAATATCACCCTTTTTTCATAAAATACACATTATTAATTTTATTCTCCGATTACTATTTTTTTATTTTTTTACTGAAACTGGAAAACTATATATAGGCTTAAAAGATACATACCAAAATTTAGACTTTTAATTGATTTTATTAATAATTTTTTTAGGCACAAAAAGGCAATTTTTGGGTCCAAATTTTGATAAGTATTCCATTATTTCAAGTCATAGTTTTTTCTCAGTTTCATTAAAATATTTTCAATTCAAATTTTTTCGTAATTTTTGAAACCTTTATTTTCTTAGGGCTCTCCTCTTTTGGAGACGAGCTGTCTTCGGATTTACTCCCTTTGGCCCCGTCGCACCACGCGTCTCTCGGTTGGTCAGGCAGAGCCAGTCTGTTCAACTTGCCGCCCTGCACCTCGTTGTCCTCGTCAGAAGCCGAACTCGTGTCGCCCTCGTCACTATTCGCACTGATTTAATTTAAAAAACTTTCCAAACCACCGAAAGTGAATACCTCGAATAATCGGACAGATTAATGTTGAGCGGCTCGTCAGCGCTGGAGCCCTCCTTGACGAGCCTGTCGACGATTTTGGCCCTCAGCCGCTCCTTGCTCGGCTCGTCATCACAAAAATCGAGCAGTGTTTCGCAAAAGCAGCGACCCATGCCTTCAAAGTCCGCCATGGAAAAGTGCGTGTCGCACCTCGAGCCCAGGGTGGAGCCGCCGAACGAGGCCTCCATGGTGTAGCTGTTGGGCACCCCCATCATCCAAACGACCACCCTGCCGGTTCCTTCCTTGGACCTCTGCACCCGAAATTTGCAGCTCTCAAAACAAAACTATGCAATTCTTTTCAGTTATAATTTGATTAAAAAAAATTTTTTTGCCTTGTCGGGAGAATTTTTTCGCATCATCAGTGGAAAGACCTGCTCTTGGAGGGGTTTGTCTCCGGGCCGCCTGCTTTCACAGCCGTAGATGAAAATGTTGTGCCGCCTCGAGTGCGCGTGCAAATCACAATACAGGGCGATGCCGCAGTCCTCGCTGAGTCGCCTGAGCAAAACTTTGGTGTGCCACACCGGAGGGTAAGTCTCCCTTATCACGGTGCGATATTGTCTGTTCAGGTCTCGGCCCGTCAGGGAGCACCGATTGTTGCCCACGATGACGCCGTCCGGATTAAGCATCGGAATCAATTTGAAAATAAATTTGGAACGCAACTCCTAGAAAAAATTTGTAATTTTTAGTTAAAAGCAAAATTAAGAAAATTCACTCAGTGGCTTTTAGTTGAAAAATAATTTGAATTTAAATCTAATTCTGCTGAGTAAGAAATTTATTAAATTTTTCTAAGAATGTATAGAATTATATTTTTTACCTTTGCCGGTGCCGAGTTTCCAGTTAGGAAATCAATTAGGCCCTTCATCATAAATGACGCTGGGGTTTCGCCAGGATGAACTCGCGCAGACACAACTATTGCTGGTTTCTTTTTCTAAAAATTTTGACATATTTTTTCAAGAATTTTTTGAATATTTTTTTTACTTTTTCTTCGCTGCTAGACGGTTCTGTCACGGTCAAATAATAAACATTATTTCCAGCCAAGGATCTGCACAGCAGCCTTAACTTTGTGTACTCGGATTTCACAGGATGATTCTAAGCAATATTTCTTTTTTTATAATATTTTTGTCATCATAATCTTAAAATACTTGTAAGTTCAGCAGATAATCCTGCAGTGTGGAATACGTGTATGGATAACAATGAGCAATGTAGACAGTATCGTTGTCGTAAGGAAAATACAAGGTGAATGTCAGTGTGTAACAAGGGCATTCTTCCTCGTCAGTCCGAAACTCCCTTCTTCACAGAAAACACAAATAATTAATAAAAATTCAAATCGCTCAAAATAAATAAATTTTTTACTGCAAATCGTTTTTGAAGTAGGTAATGTTGTCTCCCGTCCTGTGCCAACCGACCCTTTTCAGCTCCGCTTTCTTTGTCGAGTACATGAGAGGCCGCATGCCATTTGAGTATAAACTGTCTTGTTTCATCAAGTTGACGATGGAAAGTCTACAAAAATTATATAAACTACATTTTCCTAATTATAAGGAATAAACGAACCTGTACATGACATTGGCTCTGGTATTTTTAATCTGGAAGTAAAACCACTGCATATGTCTGGAGGTGTACAAGTCAGTTCTGAGGTACAGTTCATAATAGGTCTCTGTCACTTTAATTGCCTGGAAAATAATTACCGAAAATAAAATTTTTAATAAATTAAATTAAACCAACTTTGGCTAAATTTCCCGACTCGAATCTGGACTCGAACTGCAGCGTGAAATCTTCCTCGTCCTCAATTTCAACTTGCGGTTCTGCTTTGATCCCACCGGCAACTGCTCTGCTAAACTGCAAAACAATTATTTTAGTAGATCATATTTTGGCTTTATTTTTTATTTTGTACGTAAGAGACAGAGGTGGTCGGATTGTAGTCGTAAATGAGCGTTCCGGCTTCCTCGCCGACCGGCCGCGGTTGGAGCTCCCGTCCCGTTGGCACGTAGTAAGGCTCAGGAATTGAGGGACTGTATGGGATGTGCTCGACCTGTTGCTCCAGCACTTGGCATTCGATGGGCCACCGTGGGATTTGCTGCGTGTACGGCTCTTTTTTCAGAGCGAACAGATCGCGCGGCTCTCGCAGTCGGGACAGGGCCTTCTGTTGGGCTTTCCATTCTGCGCTGCCCTCGATGTGCGTCGTTTTCAGCGTTGTCTGCAGAAGTTCGGAGAGGTAATTTCCTGTAAAACAATTATTGGATTTTATACTCAGACAAAAAAAATGTGTAGAAAGAAGAAAATTTTTCTATAATTCTCGCTACAAGAAACATAAAATGTTTAATAGTTTTTAGAATAATTTTGTTTTTGAAGAAGAAATTCATAAAAATTTTTGCAAAAAATTTGGCATTCAAGGACATATTTATGTAAATGAAGTAAAATAGTAAATTTTCCTGATATAAATTTTTCTTATTAATTTGCAGATTATTTGTGCATACTTGTTTGATCATGAAACCGTGATTGAAAGTGGTAAAGCTGTTTCTTACATTTGTGAATAAAAATACATTTTTTCAAAGAGGAAAAACTCTTGTTTTTCTTCATATTATTGTTTCGTTAGTACTATACTTGCCATAAAAAATTTAAATAGTTAAACAAAATCTATCTCAGCTCTGAATAATTTACTTTCGGTCTTCATTAAAAAAGTTTTTAGCTCTTTAAATAAGTAAAAACAGCGACCAGCTTTACTTTGATATTTCAACAAAAATAAATGGCCACGAGGGGTTTCCCGCGGAATCGGGGCAAAATTGAGACCTGAAATGTGAGCCGACCAATGAGAGGTGGGGAAAACGCCGGCATGCGAAAAGTAGGGGGCAGCAACCGATAGTAAACAAGGAGACATTATTTTGAGTCGAATCGAATTCGCGTCGAAACCTCTTTTTCGCCACATTTTGCGACCTGCGGGCATCAGCGAGGTTGGTATTTCACGCAACCTTCTCTTCTAAACAATGCAGAACCAGAACTTTCGCGATTCACTCGCTGATAATGCAAGGATTTTGTTATTTTGTCGGGTCTTTTGTGAGGAAATTTTTATGTCGGATCAACATGTCTCCAGGAATTTCTTCGATTTTATCTCATAAAATTGGATGAAAATGATCAATGCAAGCTAAAATTAAAAATTGTTCATTATTATCCAAAAGACCTTTCAATTGATATTGTGAAGTGAATCATCATAATTCATAATAGTTAAGAAAAATTAATTTAAAATTGTGTCAATTTAACCAGGGATTCATTCAATATTCATAAATTAAGTAATTATTAATCCTCAGCTATTTATTATTTAATTATTCGTGGATATATTTGCATATCACGAACTCATATTTAATCCAACTTTCTAGGCCAATGGCCTGAGACTTCTTGGCCTCTTGAAAATGATGGACAGCCCTGACGAAGGAAATAGTGGATCAGCGTTTGAGTTTGTCGCAGTTGATGAAAGCACCACCTCCAATGAACAACCAGTGGCGCAAGTTTCTTCCAGCGCGCAGAGGAAGAGACGCAAATCTCCAGTCAAGACCCGGACAGTCCCTCCGAAAGTGCCATCAACCTTCAGATTCAGAAATCTTCCAGTCCAACAGGAAAACATGATCAATGATGATTTCGAGCCAGCTCCAAATTCATTTGCCTTTGTCCCGACCTTTCGGTTGGTCGATTTGAATATGATGGCCAAACTGCTGTGGTGCGAGGACTGCGCCTCTCCCGTTTCTCTGAGGTTCTGCGTTGATGACAAGCAAAAGTTGTACAACTCCGAGCTGAAGGTCCTGTGCCACTTGTGCACCAAGGTCATCAAGGTGCCCCTGACCAGACTGGGTGACACTGGAAGTCTGGACGCTTACAAGCAGCAAGCCACAATAATGAACCACATCATGGAGCAAAACTCTGACACAGTCAACAGATGCAACGAGCTGAACAGGACTCTGGCAACCATGGTGCCTGAACCAGCTCCGGACACACAAATAGCTCAGATCAAACTAGATTCGCCAGACTATTCCATGCAAGACTCTGAGGATGACTTTGAAGAATATGAAAGCTCCCCATCACCAGAGTCGCCCGAAACAATTATCAAATATGAAGGTATTTTAAGAATTAAAAATTATTGATTGAGTAAAATTTATAATTGCCTAATTTCTATTTTAGAAGAAGCGCCGCAAGAACCGGTGCTAACAAGGACAGGCAGGTTGGTGAAGAGAACTACAAAGTTTGGAGCTAGTCGCTACCACCTCATTGATTCTGAAGAGGAAAAGGGTGAGGTGGGAGAAGTTCCTATGGAAGTGGAGGAAAATTGGTCACCGGCAGAATCTGACGAGCATGACAGCGACGAAGACGAGTTTTGGGCCCCGGGAGATGAAGAGTGGGACTTGGAAAAGCTACCTAGGTAACTAATATTTTCATGATGAACTAGGGTGCTGAATTCCGTTTTATGAACTACGAAAATAAAATTTTCAAAAAGGCTCTTTATCAAAAACTTGAATTATTTTGAGCTATTTTCTTCTCAACCATTTTAGTTTTCCTCCTCTAATATTTATTATAATTTATGAATCCTACAAAATAGCCCCATTTTATAACTTTGATTCTCTTTTATTTCCAATGCTTTTTTCTATTTTTTGTCTTAAATTTGGTCATTATTCATGATTTTTCAGAGGGGGCCAAGAAAAATGCCTCTACTGTGACGAGGAGTTTAGCCTGATGAAAAAATGCATTGCCCACATGAAGAAGTGCCATCCAGAGTTTCTGCAGCGCAAGTGCCCCATCTGCAACATACAATTCAAGACGTGGAAGAAGTTCAAATACCACTACCCTACCCATCAATCCAGCAAGCTCAAGTTGTGCGCATACTGCGGAGAAATGGTCTACATTAGAAGTTACAAAGTTCACATTGCCAAGCACACCCAGGAACGAAATTACAAATGTCCTCACTGTCCATCTGTATTTCTAACGTCGAGCGGTTTGAACGGACATAAGCAATTGCACAGGCCAGCCATGACCTGCGACCTTTGCTTGAAGGTCTTCAACAAAAAACCCCGTCTTGTTCAACACATGACCATCCACGTCAAGGGCAAGAAGTACAAGTGTGACATTTGTCGTGCGGAGTTTCTGCACAAGGACAACAGGAACACCCACAGGAAGAACAACCACAACTACGTCTGTCTGATTTGCTTCAGGCAATTCAACTGCCACCCCGATGAGGTGCAGTCGCACGCCGAAAACGAGCACTCGGAGGCCGAGCAAGAGGCCAACAGGGTCAACGGACTGCTCTACGAGCGGATTACCCGTTTCCAGTGCACTGAGTGCAAAGTCTACAAGCCCTCCAACCAGCAACTGCAGATACACCTGAGAAAGGTGCACAACAGGGTCATTGAAACCCCCGAAGGTAACAAAAACAAGGGGAGGAAAAAGAAAATTCGGGTGACGGAGGAAGAACCTAAAACGGCTGAATAGGATTAAGTATATTGTATGATTATTATTTAGACATTTAAGTCTTTCCTCGTCAAAGATGCAGTGAAATTTAGTTCAAAAAAGTTGAGCTCTTAAGTTTTGTGCGATTATTGATGGAATTGTTTTTATGAGGACGTAAATCATGCTGCTCTCGAAACGAAACCCGCGCACGCACACGTCTAAAACTTTTCTTGTATGGTAGCTAAGCCAGGGGATTCACAAACCAATCAAATTGCAGGCGTTCAATACCCAAATGTTCCTGCTGGTATTATTATTTCCTATAATCGTTGTTTATTGCAGTTGTAAACAAAGTACCGCAATAAAATTGGATGATTGAAAGCAGCTTTTTTGCCTTATAAATTGTCTCAATAAACCTGTACAAAATAAGCGCATCTTCAGATTAAAATCGAATGATTTTATGTAACAAATAGCCATATCGAAAGTAAATAGTGAAAGAAACCTTTTCTCTCTAAAATTTATGAAAATAATTGTTTATGAGAGCGTACTTTGTTTGCAACTTAAATTCAATTCTGGATTTCGCCAAATTATAACTCAATTTTTGAGAAATTTTGTTGGCTCGTCCATTTGCTTAAATATTCTAGTCCTATTTAAAGGCAAAACTTTAAAGTTTAGAGTGATATACAAAGGAAATTAGAAAAAAATTAACCCTCGATTAAATTTGAAAATCTTGGTTTTGTGTTACAAAAAGAATTGATTTTTAAAATTTTAATTACCTTTGGGTGAAACTGGAAAAAGCGAAGCCTGGAGGTCCTTGACTGGCTGCTCATTGTCCGGCTCCATTTTTGCGTCACATGGCACCACGCAGAGTCATGGGTCTGCCGCTGCGAGGGCAAAAACAACCCTTTTTTCCCCTCGCAGAAGAAAAATTGGCACGCGCAGTCGGACGTAATGGTGTCACGAGCAATTGATTTTTTCGGCCCGACCGGCACCTATTGACAACAATTACATTATGTACAAGAGTTTTTGAATGGGCTCGGAAATGGGTCTGCGCGAGAGCGTATTTCGCTCGCCGTGCGCTACTTTTGTCAAAAGTTGCAGGGACCAATAAAATAAAATAATAACGCGCGCGGCGATGGAAATTTTTCCTCGCGGTCCCTGGCACCGCTTATCGACCGACTCTGGTCGGCTTTTCATCTTTGGCACGTCGTGGAAAAACGAGAACCCCGTCAATCTTCAGGCAAAAAAGTGGTGTGGATCCGACACACGTGCATATGTTAATTGCGTGCAAGTGGAATCCGTCGATAAAATATATACGTCCGACACGCGATTAAAACTGCAATCTTGTTAGGGAAGAGAGGATATTAAAATCGTGCCTTGCGCTTTTCTCAACTCCGTTTCTGCGGAAATAATTATATTTTACCTTGATTTTAATTTTGTTCTTTTTCAATAATTAATCTGCTACGTCACATTGAGAAGGAGTATTTAAAAAAATATTTTATTATTTGGCGCTTTGATAGATTGATCCTTTTTTACTTGAAAAAAAAATCACTTCAATGCAGTTTCAGATCCAGAACCTCGAGGCACAAAACCAAAGAAAAGAACGAGAAGAAATTATTCTCAAAAGGATATGGAGGACGCTTTGGTTGCAATGAAAAATGGAAGGTTTAAGTCACTCAGGGCCACCGCAAAAGCATTTGGCGTTCCTTTTGCCACACTCAATGATAAACTGCTGGGTACGCTAGTTTTACACTTTAATTTTTTTTTATTTTTTAAATTATTGGTCCAATTTTTGCAGGCAGGACGCGAGTAGGATGCAGTTTGGGGCCAAAGCCGAGGCTGGAACAATTCTGTGACGATTCCGGCCGACCAGTGGAAAAAGTCCTCTACGGACGTTTGATTGATCTCATTAACAGAGGATTTCATGTTACTCAAAACCAAATTGTGTTGTTTGCTATGAATCTCATCAAAGACAACGAGAAACCAAAACAGCTAGGCAGGTCTTGGTTAGCTGGGTTTATGAGGCGACATCCCGATGTGCGGAAAAAACTCGTGGAACATAACAATATGGCAAAACGCGGAGTTCCAGAATCAGCAGTCAGAAACTGGTTTAAATTGATCAGAGACTTCTTGCACTCCAAGAAACTGCAATATCTTTTAAAACTTCCTGACAGAATTCTGCAAACTGCCACTCTTTCTGAAACTATTCTGGGTATTTTAGTCTAGACTAATTTTTACTGTAAAATTAAATGTTTTTAATATTTAGATGCCACTTGCGATCCGGAAACGGAAAAATTCACAATGGTACTTGCAGCTTCCGCAGAGGGAAAGCTTTTTTCCCCAATGCTCAATGTCAAGCATAACGAAGATCCAAAATTTGTAAGCTTTTTTTATTTAATTTTCAAATCTTAAAATCGCATTGAAATTAAATTTTTTAAATTAATTCACACAAATTTTTTACCCGCGACTTAATTTTTTTATTAATTTAAAAATTTTAAACTTGCATTAAATTTAAAAAGTTTTAATTTTTCAGGTTCGGAAAATGTGTCCCAAGAATTGGCACGTTTCTAGATCAGATACAGGCTTATTGACCAGTGCTTCATTGATGGAATTTGCTAAGGTGCTGCACAAGTCGCTGGTCGCAAAAGATTTTCTGGACAAAGAAGGCAAAAAAGGTGCAGGCCTTAAAGTGCTCTTATTTCTTGACGGACCTTCGTCGCAAGTGGTAGACTTGGATTTTGACAGATATTGTGAGCAGCACGGAATTGTCTTGGTGAGCTTCCTACACCACGCAGCCCATTTGCTGCAGCCTTTATATCTGAAGGAATACTGGTCTCAAGAGCTGAAAGTCTGTAATTCAAGTGGAAGCAAGCCCGCCTCATCAAGGGACATAAAATCCAGGCTGACCGGTGTTTTCAGCAGAATTTCAATGTCTGAGATTGAAAAAGCATACAGGTATCGTTTCTAAAATTGAGATTTTTCATTGAAATTTTTATAATTTCATTTACAAATTCATCATAAAATTCCAGACAATGTGGAATCTACCCCTTTAATGCTGATGCTATCAACTTTAACAGTGTTCTTGTTCGCAGAATTCAGAGTTAAATCTATTGAAAGAACTTTCAACGGTCAAAAAGTCTTCGAGGCTGTAATTTTTCAAATAAAATAAAAATTATAATATTTTTTTTTGTTTTTTCCCCTAAAATATTTAGTTATCATAATTATACAGTAATTTCAATTTTACAATAAGCTTTTTCTGCAAATTTTCAAACATATTTAGTGAAAAAAATGGATTATCACAAATGGTAGAAAATTTTAATTTAATTCCAAATTGTTTGAGGAAACTTAAAATTAGGTCCTACTTTTCCAGTCCTATCAAGAATCTCGATAAAAAAAGCCAAAAGTAATGCAACTACTATATAAACTAACTACATAAATATTATAAAAGGAAAGTCATTATAAATACAAATTTATTTCCATCTCCGTACACCGTACATAGAGAGAAATTAAATATCGGTCCATAATGAATAATTAAATAAATAAGATTGTCCTTCTCCTTCTGACGAATTTTAGATAAAAAAAATATTTCTGTGCTCTATTGTATTATAATACATATTTAATGTGAGAAATGATTTGAGTTATGAACAAATATTTTTTCGAGTTTTTAAACATGATAAAAAAAAATGAAGATAAATCTGGAGGGTTTTCTCACCTCAATGGTAGTAAATTGAAAGTTCGTTGGCACCCTCTGCGTCACTCGAACAGCTCTTTTCGACGGCGATTGAATCGGAATTGTAGTTCACAAATAATCACCATGGTGATTTTTCGCCCATGCCGCGAGAGCTAAATTTCCATCGCGCGCGCCAACATTCGTAAAACTTCTCCTTGGCCAATCTGATTGGTTGAATATTTTGAAATCCAGCACTCTGATTGGCTTAATCAGGGGGGCGTGCTTAGTTTACAGAAGTTTTATTTCTTCTAGAATTCTTTCCGTGACTCACATGGGCGGCTTTTGAGATATCTCTCCTGATTTTTCGACTTTTCGCCTGATATTGCGCCGAAATTCGAGCAAAAAACCTATTCAATCAGTGATGGCCGATCCTAGGATAAAGTCTCTCAAAATTAAATCTGGCATCGTGAAGAGAATCACAAAGGAAAAGGTGATGTACGTCCAGGAGGCGGAGAAGCAAGACGAAAAAGTGCAGCAGATGAAAGAGAAAAGTGCGTTTTTTCCCTGTTATTCTAATATGAATTTTTTGAATAATAAAGATTCTAACAAAAAATATTGCGAATTTTTCCAGAGGACGACGAGTATCACATTCGCAAGCAAGAGGAAGTTCTGGCCGAGGCCCGGATGATGGTCCCTGAGTGCCACAAACGCCTTGTCAAAGCCTACGAAGACCTGAAAAACTTGGTCGACTGTGAAACAGACCTGAACGAATTCCAGGAATATCAAGCAGCACTCAGCATTCTCAGTGACGCCAAAGTGCAGCTCGATGTTGCTAACTGATAAAAGACAATCTCGCCGCTAACACCACCCGCCTTCCTAATTTAATAATTTTAATATATCTTTACTAATAATTTAAATCTTACTTAAGTTTTGTTGCACAAAATCATTCCAATTAAATATTGAAAATGAGTGGCCATTTTGGTGGCTGGCAAAATTACGAATTGTCTCGACCTCCCTTTGCACCGCCACCGTTTGACTTCTCAAGACCTCCACCACCAATCCCAAGGCTCATTCCGCCGCCTTTCTTTCGTCCGCCGACCTTTCAAGCTTGGCAGCAGGAGCAGAAAATCGTCTCGGAAGAGCAAAAACCAGAGAGTGAAGACCAAAGCTGGGTTCAGCAGTGGCTTGCAAATAGAGTAACTTCTGAAAGCAATTGTACTAATAGTTTAGAAAAGATTAAGGTTGTGACCAAATTTTATTTAAAATCGCAATTTAATCTTCATTATTATGTAGATCTCAGATGTCAAGCGGAAAGTTGAATACTGGAGTGCTGTAATTGAGGAGCTCGAAACTTTGAGCGCAGAAGAAAATTTAACGACGGAACAAATTCTGAAAATTTCCACTTTGAAAGTTAGAACTTCCTTTTAGCAAAATATTATTTCTTTCATTAAAATTTTTTTTAAAGGCAGAAGCATCTGAAATTTCGTTGTATCTGGAAACAAACAAACCAGTGATTGCAAATCTGATTGAAAAGAGGGCAAAGAAGAGAGAAAAAGAGAAAACAAAGCGAGCAAAAGCAAAACTGGCCAAGGAGAAGCTTGTTAGCAATCGGCAGGCCAAGCACCGACAAATCGATGCTTGGAGACAGGAGCAGCAGGAAGAAGTGGAAAGAGCAAAAAGAGTACGGAAATCATTGAATCTTATGAAAAATTTAGATTTTCAATATTTTTGTTTATCAGGAGGAAGAAACCCGGAAGCAAGCAGATGCTGTTCTGTGCGAAGTGCGGAGCAAACAGTCTGACGGCAAGAGTTTGATGCAGGTCCTCGAGTCTCTGAAAAAGTTGCGCCGTTTCCGAGCCCAGACAGCGGCAGACAAGAAAATGTACCCAAGTGAAGAGGAAAATGAAAGATTCGATAGCATCTTAGGTAAATTTTTGCAACCTCTGAGAAGTGAAGTTCTAATAATTCTTTGCAGAGAAACTGGGAGATTTGTGGCAGTTGCAGTTGGATGAGTACGCTAAAGAGGAACAAACTCTGAGGGTCATGATGGATGAGGAAAAGGTCATTCGTCGGCAGAAGCAAGAGCCTTCTGCTTTCGAGACCAATCTGGAGCTCTGGCTCAGAACTTTGTTTGGAAGAGGTTCTGATTGTACTTCAGATTATGAGCATTTCTTCCATTTGAGTGCCGAGAAAGACCCAAACACACTTATTAGTGTCAGGTATTATATACATTAAATTTATATTTAACTTGCAGACTCTAATCAAAAATATCTGTAGGCAATGTTGGGATCAATTTTTGGCGCCAGCAGGAAGTCCAATGGCCAGTTCGCTACCTGTAGGTTGGGTCGTGCCTTGCAAGCCATCATCAGCAGACTGGGAGACTCTTTTGGAGTCGAGACAAAAATAATGAAGCTTAGAAAATTTTTATGATTAACTAAACTTAATAATGTTAACTGATTTAAAATTGTGCTATATCGGCTTGAATAAAATGAGATTATCCCTTAAATATTTTTTCTTAATGTAAAATAACTTTATTAAAATACATAATAATCCAGCTGTATTATTGTACAATATCATGCTGCCTTATCACAGTGTTAATGAACTTAAAAAGATTTTAATAAAATATATTCAGCCTTAGCATTGAAAGCTTTTCAAATGGCTATGGGATTGACAAAGAAAAATAAATGACTGATTAAACAAAAATGCAGGTGGATTGAAGATAAAATGGCCTCTGTGTAGGTTGAATTTTCACCAAACTGTTGATAAAATAAATAGTCACGTCCATATCTGTTCAAGTTATAGCAGTCGTAGCAATATCAAAATATAAACACGTCACCACTCCAAAAAAGGAGGTAGCTCAATTGGCCCGCCACTAGAACTGGCGAGTAAATATTAATTTACTCAAAAAATTAACTTGGGTCCAAAAATAGAACTCCGCACACCGAGGAGAAGCCGATGAGCACTGCGAGTACTTTGGGCAATCTTTGGATGCCATTGCTCAGTTCCCTGGGCAGCACTTCAAAAAACGTTACATAAATAAAAGTGCCGCATGCTAATCCCTGCAGGACGCCGTTCATCAAGATTGACTCTGGTGTGTGGCCCATTTCGTCAGCCAACATGCCCAGGCCGATTCCGATTGGGGACGTCGAACAGAAAATCAAACAGGACTGGAGAATTGCTGTGAGTCCGAGAGCACTCTGCACTAAGTTGAGACCCAAGCTGAAGGCAATCACCGCCTTGTGCAGCATCACTGCTGCCGAGATCTGCACTACGCTGTCCACACTTGGCTGCAGGCCGATGGCCACCCCCTCTAGAACGGAGTGCAGAGACAAGGCAGCCACCAAAAGGACGGACCTTTATGATCAAAATTATATATATTTTATTATTATTTTTTTTTTTATAAATTTTAAAATTAACCTTAGGCTTGGATGGACATGATCGGTAGGATCTGGGATTTCGGACCCTAGGGACCTTTCGCCGTCCTCGAGAACTTCTGTGCTTTGCTCCAAGTCTGCTTGCGGGACTTCGTGAGCTATAGGTTGGTCGCTGTGTTTGCAGTCCAAGACAATCTAAATGTAATAAAATCTTAAGTATGACAGAAATTATTTAAAACAAATTTAATACCTGCTCAAGAACCACAACAAATAAGAAACCAAAGACGACGATGAACTCTGGTACTGGAAATGATGTATGTATATGCAGCAAGTCCAGTCCCTAAAATAAATTAGTAAAGTTTGATTAAATTTTATTTGGTATTAAATTTTTTTTTGCCAATCACTTAATTCCAAATTATTCAGCAATTTATTTATGTACCTTTTCCACATTGTCTTGAACCTCAGGGAAAAGGTCAAGGAGACCAGTGGCCATGAAAACTCCTCCAGCAAAACAGCTCATCAAACCAATAAACTGGGAAAACCTTGAAATAATTTTAAAAATAAATAAATATTAAAAACTTGATTTCATAAATTACTTGGCGCGTTTAGCCATGTCCTGGGTGTGCCTGTACGTTGCCATCATCCTGAGCGGCAAGAGGCTGAAGACCATGGTCACCAACAGGGTCGCCATGAGGACGATGCATTTCACCGTCGTGATGTCCATCGTTCTGTGCAAAAACTTCGCAGCTGCGTCGAAAAAGAAGAAAAATCTGCGAGACGAAATTATACGCGTTCCGCACGATCCGTCAGGATCACATGTTTGTCATCAACAAAACACGGTCACGTGACTCGAAATGTTTGCTCTTAGCCAATGACCGCCGTTCTACGTCAACGTAACCCAGATTTTTGCAAACAAACGGCGCCAACCACAAATTTAACCAGAAATATTATGATTTGTGCGTTTTCAAAAATTATACTTTTTATTGAAAAATCAAATCATTAAAAAAATTTGGAATCAGGAATTAAATATTATATACATTTTGCCAAACACAAAACAAAAAAAATTCTAATAAATACATAAATGAATTCTTTTTCAGTTTTTTTTCCTTTTTGCATACTACGGATATTAGAGTTGGATTTTAGTTTTATCACATCTATTAAGTTTACCTATAGCATCACTTTTTGATCAATCTTAACTGGTTTACACTGGTTCTGGAACAAAAACACGGATATTGTATGGGGAAAAATTTATTGGCCAAATCAGTGAATACACATTTCAAAATAATCACAGTATATTTTGAAACGAGAGTGATAACGAATGCAGCAGTAAACAAAAATAAGGGCGCTCGTCAAGCTAAAGGACAGCGACCTACTGCAGCAAATTATTTCTATATTTTTTTTTCATCAGTCGAATAATAATAAAAAGTGTTGCACTAAAAAGCATCACCCGTAGTTGATGGAAAACAATGTATGATCTTCTTAAATAATTAATAAACATCATTCTGCTGTTAAAACGGTCAAACGCGGACCAGGCGCATAGCATTTCATTTCACACGAAAATACATTGTTTCCTCACATTTCATTTACACTTTTGCCTTAACGCTGGGCTTAGGAGTCTGATGGTTGGAATAATATAAAATCACATGCACACAGGGCCTTCGTGGCACATTTCAAGGGCTATATAATGTGATAAGATTGTGGTAAACTTAGTTCTGTGGTCGCCGGTTGTCAAAGTCCCTCCTGTTACCTCCTCCGGACGCCCTCCAATCAGGATAATTACTTGAACTCGGCCCCATGAACCTGTCCCTTTGGCTTCCAAAATTGGACATTTGGGGATGCTCATTACCAGAGTACATGTTGTTGTTGCCTCCTGCAAAGACGCCGCCAAACTGGCTTCCACTGTTCCCACCTCCAAATCCACCTGAACCACTGGGGCCACCTTGATGGAACCTAAGCAAGATGAAAATTAATCAAATAAAATATCACCAATTACGTTAGAATTTAAATTAATTACCTTCTGTTGTCAGGTGGTCTTGGCCTATCGCGGTCTCGATGGAAGTTTTTAGGCATTCGTTGATAGTTGTCCCTCTTGTCTCCGGCACCGCTGTACCTGTCTCTGCCAGAACTGTTGTTTCCCCAGCGACTCTCGTTGTCAGGTCTGCTGTGAGGACTATTGTTGGAGTAGTTGCCAGCTTGCTGAAAGTTTCTTTGCGGAGTGGAAGGACCATCACGGGACCGATCCTTTTTGTCCAAGCTGCCTCTTGAGTCCGAGTTGCTGCCACGACTTTCTGAGCGGGGCTCTTGCTTTTTCTCCTTCTCCCTTCTGTCTTCCTTTTCTTTGTTTCTATTAAATATATTTATTTATATCCTGCCAGTAAAGCCACAGAAGTTCCAGTAATTTACCTTGACTCTGATACTGATTTTTTAGGGGATGACTGGAATTCCGGTTCTGTTTCAGCTTTTCGTTTTTTACTGCTATTGGTTTTGTCTCTATCCTTACTTTTGTGCTCTTTCTCTGAGGGCTCCTCCTTTGTTTTTTCCTATGGAAACTTAATTGTCACAAAATATGGGCTAAAATTAAATTACTTTTACCTCTTTTTCAGATTTTTGCTTCTTCCCCTTTTTCTTTTCCTCCTTCTTTAAAGTCTGTTTGTACAGTTTAAAGAGTTTCTTGGCATCGTAAACAGTGAATTTGGAGACAAAGTACCAAAGATTGCTGGAAAAGTAAACAATGAAGCACTGACAGGAACAAATCCCAATTATTTACCTCCTCCACTCTTTGACTTTCTCTGGATCTTTGAACTCGGACAAACATTTATTTATTTGTTCCCCTATTTGCAGCAAACACATCTTTGCGTGGTGGACTTGCTCTTTTTCCGGTAAACTTTGGTCAGGGCTGTCCAGGGCCTTGAGGGCTTTTTTAACAGGTCGCATTTTCTCCTTGCACTGGTCAAAGATCTGTGGGTCCAAATCTCCCATGACGTCGAGGGCGCGTGGCTCGTTGTTTGCAGTGAAGTGCATTGGGCCCTGAGCTTTCTTGGCCTTGCTCTCCTTTTTCTCTTTTTTCTGCTTCTTCTTTACGTCCCTCGAGTCTTCATCGATTTCCACCTTGACCTCCTCTTTCACTTTGACCTTCTTCTTGCTGCTGGCTGCGGACAGGTTTGTTGCTTCGTCTGCAGACGAAACTTCGTCATGTTCAATAATAGGTTTTGTGAGAGCCACTTTTGCTTCCCTCTGTTTCCTCTGCTTTTTGGGTTTGCTCTAAAAAATTATATCATTTCATAAAAATTAAAAATTAGAAGTAAATTAAAAAACAAAAACTTACCACTCCTTGTTTGACGTTGAGCTGGTTTTTAAGTATTTTCAATAAGTACTCAGCTCTTGCTTGGAGATGTTTAGCTTGGGGCTTCTTGTCATCATTAAGCAAAATTTTGTCTCCTATGTGCAGACCGGGATCCATTTTGATGGCTTCCCAGGAGCCCATGCCGTACTGATACACACCACGAAGTAACTTTGAGTCGTCTTCAATTTCCCACTCAACATCAAAGTTGCTTGGCTTAACTCTGAGAAAAATTAAATTAAAAATCTGGGAACTTCAAAAAAATGACTGAATTACCTTGCTTCCAGTACCCATCGATTTCTCTCTGAAGTGTCACTGGGCAGCATTTCGTCCAAAGGCTCCAGTTCTTTTTCAGTGGCAATCAGCGTTTTTGCATTGACGGAAACACCACCTAGTTTAAACGATGGTCCTCTTTCTCGTTTCTTTTGACCTGAATTTAAAAATTATTGTGAATTATTAAAATTTTAAAAACACTCAGGTTTATGCATTTACCTGGATCGTCATTGGTGTCGTTTTCCTTCAGTGTTGTCCATTCAGTCATGATCTTACTGCATCTGTCTTTCAAAGTCTCTCCAAGCTTCTTCAGGTCAGCCAGGGGCTTTTCTTGAAGCTCAGCATCACATGCCACAGCCTCCAGTCTCTTCAGGGGAGCAGGGAACTTCTTGTAGCTTTTAACAAACCGACGAACTTCTGCGTCGCTGAAGCCCTTGATGGTTTCTTTGTTTGACGAACGGGGCCTTCCTCTCTTCCTTGGCCTGTCGTCGTCAGAGCCTCCACCATCATCGCTGCCAGAAACAGAGTCATCATCCTCATCCTCCTCAATCTTCCTCCTTTTCTTTCCTCGACCATCTGGTGCAAAAATAATTTCGACAAGTTTGATTCATATTTGTTATAATCCAGTTACCATCACTCTCAGACTGATTGATTTGCTGAAGGGTTTTCCTACTTCTTGGCGGAAGGTAAAGGTCTTCCATTTCTTTTGCTTTTTCTTCCTCCTCAACTTTCTTCCTGAAATTTTCGGGAATGATGTCGTCCTGAATAAAAATATTTTTGAGTTAAAATGGAACAGAACGCTGCAAGCTAAAATAGATTTACCCAATCTTTGCTTTCGTCTTCAGGCTCAGGTTCAGTGTTATCAATTTTGTCTTCCTCGTCAAAGGCAGCAAAACTGGCCACCTTGAAAGCCGACAACAGCTCATCACCTATCCTTGCGGGCTCTTCGTCCCTCGTTTCCGCCCTTCTCAGGATTTCATCAATATCACACTAAAAAAAAAAAATCAATTTAGAATGTTCTTAAAAATCAATTAAAAAAAAATACAGTTGGCTCTTCATCTCCATCTTCATCATCCTTGAACAATTCCTCAGCACCGAACTTCAAAATGGCTGATAACTCGTCTTTGTTGAAAGGAGTTGTGGTGGAGGTAGCCTTTTTATCAAGGACTGTTCGACCTGTAGTGTCCATTCGTTGAATGACAAGGTGGTCGAGCACCATCTTCTGCTTAGCTCGCTCTACAATGTCCTCCTCGACAGAGTTTTTGGTAACGAGTCTATATATATTGACCTGGAATACAAAAAATTATATAAGCAATAGATTAAAAGTTGTATTAATTTAGTCTTACTTGGTTCTTCTGTCCAATCCTGTGAGCTCTAGCTTGAGCTTGTAAATCATTTTGAGGGTTCCAGTCAGAATCAAATATGATAACTGTGTCAGCTGTGGCTAAATTGATGCCCAAGCCTCCTGCTCTCGTTGAAAGAAGGAAACAGAAGTCCTAAATGTGGATATGCGAGTTAATATATTATTTTAAAAAATTGAAGGCTCTTACTTGGGAATTTTCAGCGTTGAAGTGGTCAAGAGCTTGCTTTCTCAACTCTCCTTTGATGCCGCCGTCGAGTCTTTGGAATGAAAAGTGCCTAAGCTGCAAGTATTCTGCCAAAATGTCCAGCATCCGCACCATTTGCGAGAAAATTAAAACTCTGTGACCAGTTTCTCTTAGTCGGACTAGGAGTTTATCTAAAAGTACCAGCTTTCCTGAGCCTCGTATCAAAGTCTGGAAATAATTCAATGTAAATGGGTTTATATCAAAATGTGGATTCTTACAGTCAGGTAGTCATCATATGACGATTTTTGTTCGTGGTCAATTGGTTTTGTGAGGTACGAATGATTGCAGCACTTTTTCAACTCAATCACAATGTTGAGGAAAGTTGTGGAGGATCCCTTGTTTCCTTTTCTAAGTGCGCTGTAGTTCTTGGTGAGGATCCATCTGTAGTATTGCTTCTGCAAGGAGGTCATCTCCACTCGCAGGATTTGTTCGACTTTGGCTGGCAGAGACTTTTCAACATCCTTTTTCACTCGGCGAAGAATGAACGGCTCGAGTTGCTTGTGCAGTTTTGAGTAGCCTTTGTTGGCTGCGTTATCATGCTCCTTTTCAAACTCTTCCCAATTATCAAATCTGAAATGCAAATTATTATTTCTGAGAACCTGCAAAGATTTATTTAAATGCATACTTGTTTGGCATGATGAAATGCAACAAGCTCCACAACTCTTTGAGACTGTTCTGCAGTGGAGTGCCAGTGATGAGAAGTCTGTGGTTGGTGCGGAACTCCATAAGTGCCTTGTACAGAAGGGAATCATCATTTTTAAGTCTGTGCGCCTCGTCAACCAGCAAGGCAGCCCAATCAAGACTGCCAAGGAAAGCTTTGTCCTTTAGAAGGATCTCGTAGGTTGTCAGAATGGCGTTAAACTTCAGCCTTTTTGATGGGTATATCCATTCATGTTGGCGAATCTATTTCATTTTAACAGAAAATAAATACAATCAAATCCTCATTTATTTAGACCTACAATTTCTCTGGAACCAACGTCTCCCAGATATGTAACGACATTCATTTCAGGAGCCCATAAAACAAATTCTCTTTGCCATGAGGTCATAGTTGACAGAGGAACAACGAGTAGGAATGGCCCATATAATTGTTGGGCGTTGTACAAATAATAAAGGAAGCAAATCGTCTGGAAAAAAAGAAGCTTTCAGTTGACATAATTTTATAAACCATTTTTAAGTACCTGGATGGTTTTCCCCAGACCCATTTCATCAGCCAGGATCACAGAGTTTTCCTTGCACCACGAGTGGATGAGCCAATTGACACCATCCAGCTGGTAGTCTCTCAAAACCAAAACTTGGTCGCCTCCCATGTATTCTGGTTGCGATTTGAGTTGTGAAAATTTTGGCCTGTATTTCAGGCAGCGTGTTTGCTTTGAAGGGGTCTTTTTAGAATCCTCTCGGTCGCGGAACTCCTTGATTTTTTGGGGCCACTTTTCGACTATCAGAGGCCCGTCTTCCCAGGTCGCTTCTGCATATGGTAGGCTTTCCCATTTGATAAAATAATCTGGGGTACCAGTTTCGGGTTTTGTGTATTCGGCTTTAGGGTAGAAATAACAATTATATTTAATTTACCGAGTAAGAACTAATAAAACCAACCAATGATTCTCTCCACACGGTTGTAACTCTTTAGCAATTCTTGTTGAAGTTCCAATTGACACTCGTAGTATTCTACATCCTCTGGAGTAGCATGCCTTTTCCAGTAATTCAATTCGTCTTCTTTCTTGATAAAATTCTCTAATTTCTTAATGCCTTTAACCTGGAAGTCATAGCACTAATTATACCATGGGTATAATTAGAAAAAAATGGCGTATATTAGTCACAGTTGTAAATCGGCTCCAACTCGGCAAAACTGAAATTACAGACGTAATATTGTCATTTGTCATCATGCAAACCCGTCAGAATTTTTTAACAATGACGGGTGCTTTTGATGTGCAAACGATCAGCAACCTCCTTCACACTGCTAACCATCAGATGAAATAAGAGCTACAACGAAGACTTGCAGAACTAGTTAGAAACCATAAAATATAGGAATCTCAGGTTTTGCTCAAATTTCTAATTTGAAATTTCGTGCTTAATTTTCCAGAATTGAAGAATCAAATCAAAAGAGTTCTCATGCCAAAAGAGTGAAAACCTGAGATGAAACCAACGCATCGATAAAATTTTCTAGAAATAGAATTTAGATGCCGAAATCTACTTGGGTATAGAACGCATTTCTTTTGCGCTTTACCCGCAAGAAATTTTGAGTTGTATTAAAAATCATCACAGTAAAATAATTCAAATACAATGAACACTTAAACTGACCTTTTGGTCTTTCAGAGTCTGCTCCGACTCCCAGGTGTTGTGGATGTGGGACCAGCCCTTCCACTTGATTAAAAACTGTGATTCTGTCTCTTCAGGGTTACACTGCTGGACCCCGTCATTGGGATCACCCGATTTTTCTACAGCATAACAGGTTGTGATGTTTCCAGTTGCTGGAATAAAGAAATTCATTAGTAAAAAATAAATTTAACAATTAATAAGGTCTAACCTCCTTTCTTCCCGACTCTCTGAGCAATTATTTTTTCGATGGTTTCTGCATTGTCAGGCTCTGGGGCTTCATAATTAGTCCAGTCAACTTCGACCAGGTCTTCAGATCCAGTTCCGTCGTCACTAGCCTCTTTGTAACTGACATGAGCTCCAGCCCGTTTCTTGGCACCTCTCCTGGATTAACAAGAACCCCTCCTCTAATCAAAATTTCTTTTCTTCCATGAAAAATAGGTGTACCCTCTTTCATTTTCATCACTATCAAAACTTGACTCGTCGGAAGATGCCGAGTTGTACCTCTTCCTCTGTGGCCTACTCTTTGGTGCAGGTTTGCTGCTCCGTGCGGGCTGCTTTCCCCCTGGCCGTCTGCTGGGAGGCGCCTTTGTTTTGACTGGGTCAGAATCAGAGTCTGAAGAATCACTATTCCATGTGTTGGAACTAAATAGCAATGGGATTTAAAATCATTTTTAATTAAAATAAGAAATATGGAAATCACTTTTTGGAAGCTCGACGTCCAGAGACCTTCTTGCCGGCTCTATCACTGGAATCACTCTCAGCCACATTAAGTCTCTCTGGCTCCTTTCTCTCACGACCAGATCGACGGATCCCGTAAATGTCTGGATTATTCTCCCAGCACTGAAGAAAATTATGAATTATTAAAACAAAAAACAGCATAACTGCATTGTAAATGAAAATACAAAAAAATGATGCAAGTGCAAATAATGAGGAATTTCATGCGGTCATAAGCAGTGGTGATGATACAAAGCAGGTAAATAAATCATGACTTTCCATAGAAAGTAAAAATGTATTTAGAAAAACAATAAAAAGTCAGATTCTTAAACTGAAATAGAAAATTTGATTGCTTTATCTTAAATGCAAAAAAAATTAAATTATACTTTTTAGTTAAATAAGAATGATCACTTAAAGACTGGTTAAATTTTATTGTAGACAAAAAAAATTTCATAATCAGAAAGTTTATTGCTGGATGAGGTGTTGCAACAGGGCTGGTGGTGTGTTATTGAGTGACACGCACACGCATCTGGTTGCATACCTCTGAATCGTTGCTGGATCTCTTCTTTACCTGCTTCAGTTCTTCGGACTTGCGACCCTTGGTGGGCGAGTCCTTTGAAGGAGACGCAGAGCTGCTGCTTTTGGCAGGCGACGCTTTTTCGCCATTGTCAGAATCGGAATCTGAACCGCTTCCTGACTTCGACGATGCAGACCCTGAGGAGCTTGAGCCTGACCCACTCCCAGAGCCAGACGCCGACGACTTGGAGCTTTTTTGGCTTTTGTTTGACTCGTCATCAGAAGCAGACGAGTTCTTGTCGGAGTCGGAATTCTCCGAATCGCTCAAATTTGACTGGAACAAAATAAAAATTTTCTCTAAACACTTGATTAAATTATAAGGTTTGATTATGATAAATTTTTTGATCAAATTTTCTTCAGGATCTACAATACGTATAAATACCATATTAAAGCTATAATTCTTATCCACAAAAAAGAGGGAATAATATAAATCGCGACGCAATTCGTAAAATAAAAAAATTTATTCCATTTAAAAAACAAAGAGCAGTAAATAAATCGAAGAATAGATAAAAATTGGAGTAGAGGCAAATTTTTTTAAATTTTTTGCAGTCAAATATAAAAATCAATTAATTTGAAAGCATAACCTTTAATTATAAAATGGCAGAGTTAGGTTTTTATCAAAGAAAAAGAGCTGACGCGTTTTAATTAAGAGCAAACCACAAGTCTTATTGCCTTTTTAATATTTTCATTCAATATATTTAATTAAAATACCTCAACTCTGCTTTACAGCTTTTAATTTTACTAATCATAAGCCATTTATTTCATTTGGGTCAGTCTACTCAGTCTTTTAACCAACTAAAAAAAAGAGTTGGCTTGTGTGCTGTGCAAGTGTGCACCAATATACAGATCTTCGTGAGCACCAACAACGCGACCCTCTGCCGAGCGTTGCCCGAACTACCTCCAGGCAATGAAATCCTCTCTCTTGTTCGTCATTGCGTTCTGGTTGTAAAAAATAATCTTTTTGAAGGTCAAAAGAGTCATGTGACGTGTAAATGTCACACAAATCGACTTGACAAAACTTTAAATTATTCAAGCCTCAATCGATAAAAATTACAAAATCTCAAGCCAGACTTAAATGCTTCATTATTGGCGAGATCTCGTCAGACCGACTGCTGCTGTTTTGCCAGTCTCGGTCCGTCCGCTTACTATTTTCACCGCCGGTGGTTATTGATTTTCCACTTGAAGGTTGGATTCGCGAATCTGCAAAATTGAACGCAGTTTTGATTTGATGCAGAGCTGGTGATTCTTTTTGAGGTGATGGTTGCTGAGCTGCCCACCTGCCGCTGGTACTTGGGTCGCCGCCGGTTTTGCTGATCGAAAGAACTATTTTTGTTGCCTGAGCTAGCTGTTGCATTGCCAAGTACTTCTTGTTCTCTCACAAAATGGCCGACGACCGATTGACTTTAAAATAAATTCAGAGTGCAAAAACAACGGGCCCTCCAACTAAATTTGGAATTGAGCCGCTTCGTCCAGTAAAAAAAAAATATATTTATATTTTAAATCTTTATATCCATGACATAAATAATTCACGTCTATTACTTTTTGAGAGCTTCGTACAATGACTTAAATGTTTTGATTAAAATGAATATTTTGAGTAAAATAGCCAAATTAATGTCAATATGCTATTTCAACTTTGAAAAATTATTTAAGGTTCTATTACTTCAATTTTAAATTAAAAGTAGTATATTAAATTTGCTTTCACAATTTAAAGAGTGGTTAAGGACGTTTCCAATGAAAAACTAAATGGAATCCTACTTATCTCAAAGCATTATGTGATTTGACTCTTATTTAAGCGGATGTCTGCTATCTAGGAAAGTAATTATTACAATGTAAATATAGATGATCAATAATTTTGGATCAATTTAAAATGCCAAATAATTATTCCTAAAAAAATTTTGAAAAAATAGAGGCAAAAAACATTCACTTCTAATCCCTTAAATTTCAGTATCAATAATTAGGAATTAAATTAATGCAGAAAGCCACTGGTGTTCAAAATCTTAATTGATTAAGGAATAAGGAACTGTGGATGATCAAATCTATTTACATCCTCTCGTTACGTTGTTTGAATACATAGCCTCCAAAATAATCAAACTGAAGCAGAGATTTGAACAAATATCAGCAGCTTCCTGCTGCTTGGATTGTAAATTGATAGAATGATTTACAATTCAGATAATGGGAAATAAAACAGAAGCCTGAATGACTTTGCTACCGATTTCCTGCATAATTTTGTAAAAAATTAAATATAGTTGCAGGCCAAGTGTTAAGGCTATAGAATTAATATAGGCAAAAATTGTAAATTATTTTTGTTTTAATCTGGCTGTTTAAAATGATAGTTTTAAAGGAAAGCCCAGGACAATGCTGTAAAGGTTTTCAGGAAAGTTTTCAAGCTAAACTGAGCTAAAATTAGCGAATGCCTGCTGTTGAATCAGACAAAGTCCAAGCAAAACTTTGAGTTAAATTATCAAAAAAGGGTCATTCTCAGATTTCTATCAAACTGACATGCCTGGGTTGGCCAAGGATTGACGAACATTTGCACACACATTTCACGATGGAGCACTCAATATTTTCCAAAATTTTGGAAGATGTTGCAAATGTAAACAAAGACTTAAGACCTAAGGATAAGACCTGAAAAAAGTTACTTAAAAAATAAGCTGCAAAACGGACGTATGGCCCGGATAGTGGCAAAGTAGGCCAACAAAACGACGGAGAAATTAGCGGAAAATTTGAGGGCAATATTGGAAAATTTGTTAAAAAACAAACAAGGCCACTGAAGATTTGAAAACTTCAGAGAAAATTCAAATTTGCAAGTTTGAAACCGGTGATATGGACGTAAATCGGTTGATAAAACGCGAATCAATCGAGGCTTGAATAATTCACGCAAATTCGGCGGAGATAATAGCCGAAAACGGAGGAAAAACAAACAAAAAGCGAATCCGTGTCTTACCTGACGCATTGCATAAGTCGATTTTCGTGCAGGCCAATCTCGCCGAATTCTTTCAGTATCACACCAAAAACACTTGGAAAAGTCAGAAAATGCCGAAGTGGATGCGAACCGTGCGAAAATTCAGTCGCGACCCTTCGGCAGGGTGTGCAGGGGCTCGTCGAAGAAGTCACCAGAGCTGAATCGGTCGGCGAGCGGATCCCGCAATGGCTGCCATTTTGAGGCCGTGAGCAACAACGACACGAAAGAATTTGCACGAATTCACGCAGCTAGGGCCGAAATCGACGGCCGAATGTCAGTGAAAGGTGAAACGGGATGTTGACCGACCGACTAGGCGGCACACGCGGGTCGCACGAGTCCAACTACGAGGGCGGCGAACGCGAGTTAGCGCGTGGCGAAGTGCTCGACCTAACAAGGCGGGCGGCCATCTTTTCTCTACTCTCTTGCACGGGCCTGTCTGAACTCGGCAGTCGCGCGCGACGAGTCTCCTTTCCGTTCACGTTCGCACAGAGAGCCTCACAGCCGCAATGCAACGCGCCGGGATATTATTCAAGCTCAAATTTACAAGTCGTCCGCACCCATCATACACCGAATAAACGATGGAAATAGTCCCGAAATATTTTAAATTAATTGAATGAATAAAATTAAATTTTTAATTATAAAATTAAAAAAAAAAAGATTCAGTCCATATCACAGGAAAATATTTGTAAAATTAGGAATTTCCGCTAATTTATCCTATTTTAAAAGGATGAAAACCGCATAAATTTTTAAAGAAATAGTAGAAGTTTTTACTCATTATGAATAACAAGTTGCCGGACAACTTATTTATTTTCTCCGTACAATAGTGTTATTGTTTAAGCGTAGTAATCGAGACGATCGTTTTGGGCGCCGGCATCAAAATGCAAATCAAGCATAATACCTGACTCTTCTACAGTCTTCTTTGTTTTCGGGCACGGGCTGTTGGTCGAAAGGACACTCTCGTTGCATCCGTAATTGAGATGATGTCCATGCCGCCCATACTCAAGCCTTTGATGGCAGACTGTAACAAAAATATTTTATTTTAATACACTATAGAAGAATAATTTAAATTAGGGCAAGGATTCAAATGACTTATTCAACGAGTTAATAAAAAATCTGATAAAATGACTATCCTAAAGAGTGCTAACGAGCTGTAAAATGAAAATTATACTCTTCAAAAATTAAAAATTTAATCCCTTATGAAGCATTAAAATATAAATTTAACTGAAAAAGCAATTTAAGTTCAATTATAAAAAATAATTGATGCTTTGATTTCATTAAAAATTTTAAAATATTTAAAAGAACAATGATAACTTTCAAAATAATCCCCCATTATCTTCATTGATGTAATTATATAAAATTTTAGTACAAAAGAATATCACTAGTTCGCTCTAGTTAATTTAACAGAAACAGAAGTAAAATGATTGACTATTTAATATTTAAGCTGTATGAAAATTAAGCAGCTCAGCTTTATCAACCAAAAAAATTGTAATAAGGCACCAACACTTAAAAATTTATCTATCAAAATTATAATGCAAGACGCAATGATCAATAATTAAAAAAGAAAAACACTCACCATTCTGCCAGGCCCGATTCCGCTGACCCTGACTCGAACAGTTTTGAACCCTTTGTCTATCGCCCTCTGCAAAATAAGGACAAAAATTCATCAGACTTCAAAAGATTGTAAGTCAAAAGGGAAAGCTCACCATTCCTAAACTGATTCCAGTTGCCTGGGCAGCAATGTTGGTGCTCTTTCTTGTGTTCTTGAACCCTTCCATTCCACAAGATCTCGTCATCTTGGCCACTCCTGTAATTAGAAGTCAATTAAATAACCCGAAAGCTTCAATTTCTACTGAAATATACCTTTGTGGTCACTCAGGGTAAGAATGGTGTTGTTCTTTGAGACCTTTATGTCACAGATGGGCACTTGAGAGAAGGGAATGCCGTTGAACAGTCTGCTAGGGGTATTCTCATCAGGAAAGAAATCACTGAACCTGAAAGCAAACTGTTGGTGTTTCTGCTTTAAAAAATTCAAAAATCCACACAATTGTATAGGTAGGGTATAGTTTAGAGCTTTTTAAATAACAATCTCAAATGAAAGGACGTCTGGAGATGGTAAATGAAATGCAAAGCCAACGCCTGGAGTGAACAGGGCAAGTTTCAGGAATCAATACCGTTCAAACACCGAAAAGTAAGAAAAATTGTTAAAATGGAAAAATCGGAAGGCGCTTTGGGGCAGAGTATTTGGCAAGCTAAAAACGCTGGTATGCACCTACAGGAACATAAACAACGCTAACCAGGACAGATATTTTGCTCAAGGGCGTTAATTTTAGAGCAAAAGCAGCGGCGGAGGAGCTGCTGCAGCCATTTTGAGACTTGATAAAGCAAATTGTCTGCAGTCTGCAAAGTTCAAGACAATGTTTACCTTGTCGAGTGCAGGTCGATGTCGATGCCTTTCTCGCCCTCGGTGCCCTGGTCCTTCTTGGGCATGGACCTGATCATGTCCTTGCGATCATCTTCCTTGCTACGTGGCACGGTCGTGTGCAGGGCCCTGCTTTTGCTCCACTCGGGTCGCACACCACAGAGCAAACACGTTGCCCGTGCCGTTTCTTGCACCAGTTGTCCGCCGGTGCGATCCGTCACGTTCCGGACGCTTCGTTCCAGGACGCCCAGCATCCGGGGCATAGAAAGAACCTGCCGGAGCATCGCCTCAGGTTGTCTATCCGCCCTTTCCGCAACAAATTGCTTGAGCAAACGGCAGCCACGTCCGTCCTCTACGACGTCTCAGCTCTTCCTATTTCTAAAATCAACGTGATTTCATGAATTTTGCTGGTTACGCCCCCGTCTGACGAACAAAGTGGATTCGTCCGACCAATCACAGAGTCGGAGGAAGTGACGTTTGGCCAATCAAAATACAACTTGACGAAGATGGTTGAGTTCATTATTTACGTCGCAGGGGAGTCTCGTTTCTAGAAAAGCATAATTTTACAAATTCATGCTCGTGTTTGGCTAATTTTTTTAATTTTGGCACATCAAAATTACGTAAAAAAAATAAATTAAAACTTAGAACAATTACGGGCCTCATTTGTGCCATTTATTAGAGACACTCTTTAATGACGCGTATTATTTTTACTAGCCTCTACAAAGGGTGCCTATAAATTTGCAAATTTTAGTTCGAGTCCTCTGACTCCAGAGGGCATAAAGTCATAAAGCGGCCCACATTACATTGTAGCAGTAAAAAATAGTTCATTGAACTAATTATTTTTCATATTTCTGCTACTTATTAAGAAGATTCATAATATATATGAACTGTTTGAAAATAATTGCAAATTTTAAAAACACCAAAATTTCACTAAATTAAATACACAATTATGTATTTTATTTCTTGTTGCTGTCTGTAAAAGGAATATCATCTTAATTACCGTTAATTACTGTTAAAACATGTTAATAATTATTTTTGGTTGACAGTTTGTTGAAATTAAATAAATTTGCTTTGATGCTGACATTAAGTCATTTTAATTCTACATATTTTACTTGTTTAAGATTAGCTGTATTCGTCCATAAATTCACCAAGTCTCTCTTGTTCCGAAACGGCACCTGTTGCACAAGCAAGAAGAGACTGGATATTTCGAGGCTCTCCCGTCCCAAAAACACACCCATTCGCCTTGTCAGCAGCTGCAAGAGCCTTGCAAAGTGTCTTTTTGTCGCTCACTGACATCGGCAAAAACGAGACCAAATTGTAGCCCTCAATCAAACCTACAAGAGCTGCATTCAGTTTCTTGAATTTTTTAGTGCCAGGCTGCTCATCCAGTCTCTGTAGAAGATAATCCAAGTTCAGCACGTCAGTGTAGAAATCCAGGCCAAAATCCAACTTGCTTGAATACTTTTCAGCCAGATCTATTTTGGAGAGGATGTTTATGTGAGGCAGTTCTGTGTGCAACATCGTCGTCAGAGATAAGAGAAGCGCCGAAATGAACTTGCCTGTTAAAATAAAATTAAAAATTAAATTTGAAAAATCAAGACGATTTTATATTTACCAGGGTCACTACAGTGGTGAGAATCAACAAGTTGGACCGAGCACAGTCGGAGATCAAATTCAACAAGTTTCGAAAGAATATTTTTGGCAGAATTATGATGAGTGTACAGCTCAACCTATTTGGTTATGATATGATAAATTAAAAAAGAACTTTCCATATAATTTGAAGGTTCTCACCTGACCAGGAAAGTCAAGCAGAAAGTAATGGTCTTTAAGTGCTGATATTTTTTCCAAGAGCCAATCAATATTTTTTTCTATAAACTCCATACAATACATGAGACCCCCATTAGGACCAAGTTTGAAGGCACTCATTGTGTCCTCCAAAGTGACCAGCTCTGTAATATCTATGGCTCCTTCGTAAGGTAGGGTGTCGTTGGCTGGATCTGAAAAATAATTGTTTTATTGTTATGAATTTTAAATTTGGAAAATAATTTCTTCAGTTGCAAATGAGTTTAATTTTATAACAATAAACTGCCATAATCAAGACACATCACTCATATATTAAAAAGAAAATGAAATTAAAAAAACATCCTAGAAAATATTTTTCTTAAATTCATTTTGGAGGAAAAGCAAATTAAATTTTTTTCTACTTGTTAACGAAAAATTTTAAAAATTACATTAAATTTGGGTTACCTAAATTTACTATGGCAACTTTTCTGCCGATGGATCTGAGATACGAGCCCATAGCTTTGCAGTAGGAGCTCTTGCCACTGCCCGGAGGCCCAACAACGGCCTGTCCGAACATTGTGGTGGCCACGTGAGCCATTTTACTGCAGGTGTTCCTTCAGTTTCTGGAGAATATTTTTCAAAGCAACAAGACCAAGATCCTTGATGCAAAAGGAGAAAAGAATTGGCTTTGGCAAGTTCAGCTGGCCTGCCAGGAAACGAGCGGCAATGTGGACGTCCTCGTCGTCCTTGCCCAGAAGGACCCTAGTAAAATTTTAAATAAGGATCATTGCAATTTATTTTTCTGATTTAACTACCTTATGGAGTAGACTTCAGCAGTTTCCTTCTCAACCTTGGCAGTGTCCTTTTCTACGCTGACCAGGGTGCCAATGTTTCCAGTCTGTGTGATTATGATGAAAAATCGGTCGCTACAATAAAAGATGAAAATACATAAATATTATGTTATCAAGAAAATTATATAAAGGAATTATTTATTGCTTACGTGTAAGAATTGATGGCGAATTCTGTGTGCGTGTTGTTAATTTCAGCAGAGAACAATTTCACGCTAGAATCTTCTTTTTTCAGGGAATTCGCAGCAGCGGTCGAAACACTGTCATCAATCATTTTGTGAGGAGCGATAACATTGACGAAGGCTGAGAAACAAAATGATAAATATTAACTCAAAATTATGTATAATTAATATTGCGTTATATTTACCCCAAAATCAGTGCGTAATTAACAGGAAAGAATCCGTGAAATGAAGCAATTAACCGGCAAAAACCACTCATTCAGCTGCGTAACGTAAACAAAACGACAACCAATCGACGGCCATGCGAGTGCAATTTTAAATTAAACGAAAGCTATGAGTGGGAAGGGTCGAAGTTAAAATGGCTGACTTTCTTCACTTGCAAAATTCATCCTCCGCCAGCTGTTTTGCTCAATCATTACAAGTTTTGAGTCTTGTTGAACATGGCCACTAATCTGGTTCTAATTTCTCGTCAAATCCGACAGAAATTAGCGAATTGCGCCACTCTCACCGCTCAAAGGCAAGTATATTTTAGTGGAAATGAAATTCTAACAACTGCAAAAATTTAATCCAAGTAATAAACTTGGTTTAACCCTTTTAAACCTCCAAAATTTTTAACCAATCCATTTTGCCCCAGAAAAACAATAGAATTTGCATACCAAAACGCACTTAATACATAAATACTTTAAAAGTGTGTGTTTACCTATTTTCATTTTTATTGATAGTTAAAAAACTACTAAAATCAAATTAAATTCCCTTAATACAGAAACTCATATTCTAAAGCTTTCTGGCATTGCGTCTATTCAATTTATCTGCAGGCAAGTGCTGAGTGCCAGTTTTGCTAGTGATGGTTCGAAGCTGAAGGCCACTCAAAAAGATGCCAAAGAACTCTTGGCTAGTCCCGAAGAGCGAACCCATCAGAAGCAGATGGAAGGCTACATTACAGTCGATGCCAAGGTCTGTTTGATACATACATTTGTATACATAATAATTATGAAATGGGAATTGGCTTTCTTATATTGAAATATAATCTTTAAAATTGTTATCAGGTTGATATTTCACCAGTGACTGGTGTTCCTGAAGAGCACGTTAAGAATCGCAGGGTCAGGATCTTTGTTCCTGCCAAAAACTCCATGCAGTCTGGCACTGACAACATCAAGGCCTGGCAAATGGAATTCGAAACTAGAGAGCGATGGGAAAATCCTCTCATGGGCTGGAGCTCTTCGTAAGACCGGAATTATTTCTACAAACATTTATTGATAATTTTTTTTTTACAGAGGTGACCCTTTATCTAATCTGAAATTGCAATTCAAAAACAAAGAGGAGGCCATTGATTACTGTGACAAGAACGGATGGAAGTGGTTCGTCCAGGAGCCAAACACCAAGACCCCAAAACCAAGGTCCTATGGCGCTAATTTCCACTGGAGCAATAAGTCTCGTGTGTCCACCAAGTAATGTGGCTGTTCTGTGTATAGATTTCTCCTTTAAATTGCTGTGTAATTGTAAACGAATAAAATATCAAAAAATGTTCAACAAAATATTATTGCGTAACTGATAAATTACATTTTAATTAGTAATTATATTAAAATCTAAATACCAAAGAAGGAACGAAGGAACAATATTTTTAAGAAAACTTTCAAATAAATGCTAGCGTTTTAAAGCTTTTACTTATAATTATGTCGATCTTTCTACACTCTGAAAATTTATTGCTGGTGTCCCGTGCTCTATCTCTATAGGCAGAGGTCTTATTCTTGCATCATTTAATTGACTTCATGCTAAAGTACTTTCCATGTTCTGCTCTGTAATTTTGGTTCACCATTTTTTTCATACTTTTGTAAGAGTTATTAATTCTGATAAAATATATAAATAACTAATGATTAGACAAAAATACCAAAAAAAATCATTTTTTAGATTCTTTATCATAAATCAAATCATATTTACACCAATTTTAAAAATACAACCACCTTGAAGAAATTGTAGGGGAAAAATTGGAGATTTCGTATTCTCCCCCCACTTTTTAATAATACGAAACTATTTTGTTTATTTTTGTATCACATCGAAGGAGGGGTCAAAGTGCAAAAAGACCAAAGCCATTGAAGTATTGGTGTAATTTCGCGAGAGAGAGAGACTAGTGCGAGTCGCGTGCGCACCAAGGGCCGCCGCCGCAAAGGGCCGGAGGCGGCGAGCGCGGCGGGAGAGCATCGCAGTCGTCAGTTGAGCGCGCGAAGTGCAGCAGTGGCGATGGCAGGCGCCGCGAACCCCAAGAACTCACCCCCGCACACGTGGTGCGTCTACGTCCTGCTGTTGGGTCTGCTGGGCCTGCAGCTGGGCCTCTCGCTGGCCCTTTACCGCTACATTCTGGCCGTCGACCTCCGAGTCGAGCAGATCGGCTCGCTGCAAAATCACAAAAGGGCCAAACGAGCCGTCGGCGACGAAAACGTGGTCGACGAGGCCAACGTCGAATTCTTCCACCCCAACCTGCGGCAGGAACTGGAGGAGAAGGACGCCGCCCGCAAGGCCGCCTCACCCACCAAGGTCACCAAGGACAACAAAGAGGACAACCCTTGGCTGTATCTCACCTCCTATTCACGCGTGCCGGTGAGTGCAAAGTTTTTGAATTAGAAAAAAACCTTGATAGCTTGGCTGGAGAATTGCGGAAATTATGTATGTAGTTTTAATTTGTTACATGGAAGAGAAATTATTAGGATATCAAAATTGCATAACTAATGAGCTTGAAAGTGTACATTTTTGTACACGTATAATAAATTCGGAAGAAACAACAAAACACAATTAAATTTAATTTTTTTACAAAAATTTCAGATATTGAATTGGATAATTATTTGTTTTTTTGTGGTCACTTTAAAATATAAGTAAACAAGAATTTTAGGAAAATATGCATTTGAGCGTTTTTGCATCAGTTTTTCAATTTATCCAACATTGCCTTCAAAGTGCACTTTGGTGTAGGCGAAAATTGCGCAATATGAACTTTTAAACTAATAAAAGGACGCTGCGAATACGGAGGCCCGTGGATAGTAAACAAAACTTAGAAAAGCATACTTTTATGCAAGTTTTTATTACATATTGCGCAAACAAATGCCACTCTTCTTGCTTTTAAGTCGCGTCTTTATATTCTTTTTACGGTCCATTGTTTTTATTAGATCACCGAGCAGCCTTCGGGGAAATACGCGCAATTTTTTTCTGCCATTATTTCATTCAAAGTAACGTTCAAAGGCACATAACCTCCATTTACCCAGTTAAGTTGTATGGCACGAGTGCTCAAAAAACTCAACAGGTTGAGCAGTTGAGAAACTGTTGCAGCAAAAAAAGCATCCAAGCTAACTCCTTTTAGACTCTGCGGGGTTTTAAAACGGACGAATTTCATCCGAGCACATAAATATATACAAGTTGTAAAATAAAATAATGAATGAGTCGCAAATAAAAATATCTCGGCTGTCGTCATAAAAGTTAGCGGCCGGGTTGAAATCTCTCGAAGGATGGCCTGGACCGTTTATTTATCTCGAGGGCAAAGGCTTGCTGAGAGATTATACAATTTAAATTATCTTCTTCTATACGCTCTCGGACAAAGCGCGGATCAAAATAATGAAGTGTTTGTTTCCTTGGCGGAATCGTGCGGATTCTGCGGCTTTGGATTTAATTAACTTTGACACGAGACTCCGCCGCGTGCCGTTTTCGCATTTAATTAACGCGCAGAACAAAAATTAATTATCCGAGAATAATCCGACTTTGTGCAAGAACGTTTCTTTGACTCTTTTAAATTTATACATGCCCGGGGCTGGCGGGAAGTTTTCTTTTGGAGTCGTAAATTTTCCGAGTTTGTGCAAAAGTAGGTAGGTGTTGGTCGCAAATTAAACAAATTTTGATTCCCCCGGCGAGGCTCCATTTCTCGCAAGTTTATTTTGCTTGAGCGTCAAAGTTGGCCAAACTTCTTCTTTGCCACAAGCTGAATATAAAAAAACCGGCAAGCAGCCTTAATTACTCCTCTCGTTTTTCAATTTGCTCTTGAGCATCTTCCCCCTTTAACTGGCACTTTTCGTTCCGCAATTTCAGCAGCAGCAGGGATGGATGGCTGCGGTTCATGTCGACTGTCTGGCTGCTCTGCTTTTGTCATTATGTGCGCGAGACCGTCTTCCCAACTTGTTTGCTTTTCAATTTCAGCATTTGCCAGCTTCGGCGTCGAGAATCTTCTCATAAAACTTTTAACTCCAAGAGGATGATTTGCATTCTGGTGCGGGAAAAAATCGAGTTGCTCTGAGCCAGCAGGATTTGCTTTCGTGGTAGAAAAGAGGAGTGTATTATAGAGTATTGCAAAATAAATCCAAATCAAACTCGCGCCGAAAGCCTCAGTTAAGTGCATTTCGAGCCCAGCAATACATACAAACGGCTGTTCTGTGCTCAAAGCTAAAACTTTCTTGCGAATTTTTTCATACGACTGCGAAAATCTTAAAATCTTATTATGCTAGTTGAATAATGGTGAGAACTTATAAGTTTTGAGGATAATAATTTATAAAAATGGCCAACCGCGGTAGTTTGATAGTTTGATATATTTCTTGAAATTAATCGTTATTAATCTAAATTAATCTAAATAATTTGATTTTTTTTAATTACGTGATGTTCAAATCGCGCGTTAAAAATTAAGCGCACCTTTCTGTCATGAAAGGGAAAAGTTTTGTTACGTACAAAATTTGGAAAAATTTTATTTTCAAATATGCCTCTGTTGACATTTCAATTTAATTACATATTATACTAATTTTTTATGTTTATTAGTCTATTTACAACTTACCTTTAGTATTGATTATAAAAAATTGATTTTTAAAATTTAAATGCTGAATTTCCTAATTAATTATAAAAAAATCAAATACCCTCGCTTCCATTTGGCTCGTAAATAGAAATAAATATTTTTAATCTTCTGTTCCTATCCAGAAAACTTCCCCATTTTTGTTGGTCTCTATCAAAGATCATAAAATATTTTATTTATTTTGGACACTTTTTTTCAGTTAATCGGTAATCCATCGGTAAAAATTTTTAAAAGAATAAAACTTCGTTGCTTTTTTTATTTGTCAGATGAGGCGAAGAACTAAATTTGATTTAACTTTTGTTTCATCTGAGGTTTTATTCAAATTTATCAATTTTTTACCCTTTACTCGTCGCACATAAAGTTTTTGAAACGTACGAGCAAAAGACTTGACATGTATGTTACGATGTGAAATACGCAAGGGAAATGGACAGCCGAAAAAGAACGAAACCATTTATGTGTGTTCAGGGCTAGCAGACGGCTTCGTCCTTTTTTCAATTTCCCTCATATCACAATCCCTCCGGCAAAAGATCAGCAACAGGCGCGTGAATAGCTTCGTTTCATTTGCTCTGTGTCATAGGTTACGTGACCTCTCGTGGACTTGGCCGCCCTACATTTTTGAGCCGGTTTCAACACGCGGACGGAAAAAGAGCAAAAAATAAAGAGCTGCTCACCGTGCTCCTTTCTATCTTGATCTTCCTTCTCCGCGTGCATGTTTATATTATCAAGCTCAAGTACAGAAGAAGCGATTTGCTCTAATGAGGAAACCACTTGATGCCCGCCAACATCAGGCCGTGTTGATGCCATCCTCCGTTTACGCGTCACGTTCTGATGATATTTTTTTATTTTTGCCAGCGGGTGAAAAATACAAAATCGCGATTGATGCGCGGGTTTTTATATCGAGCAGTGCGGGTGCGCCTGACGTGTAATTTATTGACGGCAAAATCTAATCAGCGAGAATGCCAAAGGTTTGTAATTATTACTCACCAAGCCAAAGCAAATCAACGGCAAAATTATACGCGATATCGATTTGAAATTGAATTTTATGCATAATCAAGCACGCTTAAGCTTTGAACTGAATTTCAGTGACTAGTAATTAATAACGATTGTGAAATTTCCTGTGTCACTTGGCATTCTTAAACAAAAAGTATTATAATCACAGTTAATGCTGAATGGTTGCTGAATTTGACATAAATTGAATTTTCGTGCTATCCTTTTTTAATTCGCTGTCCCGATCAATAATATTAATAACACTAGAACTAAACTAAATATATCATAGATAGTTTCAAATTCTTAATTCTGAATGAAATTAAAATAATTGAAATCTCTCAATTAGAAACGTAGTTAAATTTCTTTGCCATATCTGCGATTTAACTGCAATAAAAATTTTCTACTGTCTTCAGGGTTTAATTATGGAACACGTTTTTATATTATTAGAAATATATTGAAATTCAATATGGCTTTGGCTTTAAGTTAAAAAATATTCGTAAATGAACAAGCATTAATGTTAAGTTAATAAAAATGTCAATATTCTTAAAGTTTGATAAAAAAATTTAAACTGAATTTATTTTTTATTCATATCAATCATTTCAAAATAAAAAATTTACTTGCAAAATGAGACAATGTATCAAAAAAAGATGAAAAGTAAAAATATCGGAAATTTAAATTTAATTAAATATTTTTAATATTTAAAAGACTGGGATAAATTAGCAAATTATTTGAAGCATTGTTGGAGTGCAATATTATCGCAATTACACCAATCAAAACGAATTCAGCCAGCCATTATGGGCACGACATGACAAATCTCGTCCGAGAGAAGGGTGGTCATTACTCTCCCTCGGATGTGCATTACCGCCCACGGCGAACGGCCGATTTATAATGTATATGTGCCTGTGTGTTTATGCATGTATAATATTTTATTGATGGGGCCTGGAGTGGCGGCAAATGACCACTCTTATCACGGCCGGGCGCAATTCTGTTTCGAGAGAACGGTTAATTGGGTTATGAATCCGAATTAAACGGGCGGCGCGTACAATGGAAGCGGAAAATGATAGTTATTGATTGTGCCACGCTTATGACGTCGGGCCTAAGCTGCAGATTTATCTCGCTGCGATTTTGGAATCTGTCTGTCCGGTAATCTGTTTAAAGCAGCGGCGCCGATATTAAGACCATAATGAACCAGCTGAATGACACATCAATGGACATGGTTTCGTCTTCATATTTGAGCACCAAAGTGGCATTTTATATCAGTATATATTTATGTGAAAAAGAATAATTAAACTTTCTTTATTATTCCTGTTGTTTACTTTTTTAAATTGTTATGTTTTAACTTAATTCTTTCGTTCAAGACAAATAACTTAATATTATAATAATATTTGTTGCAAAGTCTAGACAAAAGTTCTTTTATAGTTTCACATACTTTACTTAATTTGTCAAAATACCCAATTTTGAGTGATGAAGTTGAAATTATCGTTGAAACTTCCACCAGCTTAAAAATGCGCCGTGAAATATTGAGGAGGTCTTCAATTACCGCTGGCTCAATTTCCGCCGCCAACTTGCTTACTTACTTAGTTGATCAACAACAAAACCTTATCGGAGCGGCCGGACAGCTCCATAGCCGCTTGATTGAAGAGCCAATAAAAAGTTACCTGGCAAGCCCAGCACGCTTTTATATATAGATGGACTTTCGGGAGAGCGTTCGTTCGGTGTCTGCTGAATTTTATTGGCACGGAAGGGTGTTGCTGCTGCAGCCTCTGAGGGTTGGCCGGGGACGTTCATTAGGGAA